TTCTCAAACAGTTCTCATATTGTGTTGTGTGCTACTGATGTCGACAGACATGAGTAGTATATATCGTCGGTCGAAAGTAAAACTCCTGGTAGCGGAAGGTTAAGGGATTTCACTGCTTCTGAAAGATGTGATGAAACTTAATTGTTGATTTCAAGCATACCCTTAATAATTACGGTACACTCAAACAGTATTAGTTTGAATTTTTTCCGGTTAGCGTTTTTTTAGCGAGTTACTTTTCTACGGAATGGGGTCGCTAACCCCATACCCAACCCTTCTCCTTTATCCAGGCTTGGGACCAGCAGTAGCCACAGTTTATTCAAGTCACTTTCTGTCTTTGAATCATTGATAGACATTTCACCAACAATATTTAACAAGTCTACATCTTTACGCTTACATGTTTAACAATGTGCTTCTACAGTTTAATCAAGGGGGTAAGCATATGGTTTAGTTTTCCAAATAAGTTTAGACGTCAATATACTAAGTGATATCATACGGTTTAATCATCTGTCTTGAAATAACAAGTTCAATTAAGTATATTGAGGAAAATATCTGGTTAACATATAGGGTGGCGTCGAGTCGCGGTTGAATATGACCACCACTACAAGACGATTGCGTACCAGATATCAAAACGCGATTGAAGGTTGTAGCGAGATATATTTGTTGGAGATCTCGTGGTATCGAAATAATACTGAGATCGTGCCAAAGGAGTACAAGCGGAATCACTGAGCAAACGTAAGTTTGTGCAAGGTCACAATCAACGGAAGGAAGAATGTCTTTAGTACAGTTAAACAAACAAGTACAGTAAAACAATCACTGGTACAATTGGTTATAATAATAATTGCTTTTATTAAACCAATCGCGTTCTCTTGATAAAAGTAGGTCACTACAAACATATACACAGATCTGTGTTTACAGATCGGGTTGTATTATATGTTGTGTAGAATTCTTATGAAATCTCAACTTGTGTCAAAGGATACTTAAGCTACACAAAATATCTTCCATTGATCCTGTATAAAAATTATACCGGCAGTAGTAATATGACAGGGTCTCTCCAACTTGTCAACTGGATGTACCTGAATCCTAGAGTTAATGCAAGTACATTCTACTCATGAGTCCCAAGCAGGACGAAGTGTCTCACGTCAAACTGGATTCCATTGCTAGCCACCATCCATCTTTGTTTATAAAACTTGTGACTGAAGGCAATATCGAGGCAGTCCACATATGATGAACATATGACCAACAAGAGACTTATCAATTGTGGACCTTAACAACAATGAGCAGATACAAGTGAACAATAGCAAGTGAATTTATGTTTCTTCCAGTTGAAAGTTCCACATTACTCATACTCACCATCATACATAAGATATTGTAATGTGCATCATTACTTAAACAAATATTACAACCAAGTTATTCAGCCAATAGTTGTTCCATCTTTAATCAAACCTAAATTGCAATATATACAAAATGATAAAGGATGTAAGATAATTACCATGTGCAACATATAAATGATCCTATAAACACAGGAATGTTATTTAAAGTTTTCTAAATAACTCATGTACAGAATGTTCGAGAGAATAGTATTCAGTTTTAATAGTTGAATTCATGAGTCGATTGAAGCGAGACCATCATAGAAAACCTGGAAGCACTAGATGGCCGTTTTGTCCTAGCATGGGGTTCCTCAACATTGCGCATCCACAATCCCGCCTCGCGGGATTCGAACCCAGGATTCATCACTAAGTCAACAGCCAATGGTGTTAATGTTTAACTTCAACCAATTCACTACTATTATTATTAAAATGATGTCTGTATGAAAATTCATACTTGATCATATGTAATATCCTATACACATATTCCGTATTCTATCTAAAATGATAATTGCTTAAATATAGGAATTGAAGTGGGAGGTTGATTATGAATACAGTGGTCTTGAGCGCTGTTAGAGGTATGAAGGCGGTTATCACTTCCCGGTTGCCCACATCGTGGAAGGGTTCTTCTGAAGGTACCTGAAAAGGAAATTGGATTAGAGGTGGTCTTAGTGACCTGAGAGTGTGACGGCAATGCCCAAGGGACAACTTCTTGAGGTCGGTCACACACGACCCTTTTATGGGTAATTTTTATGTTAGCTCCCTACTTGTTGAGACCTTACCGCCGGAGACGGATATCCGTGGGATAAGGTGAGGTGTGCATTTTTAAGGTCGACCTTTTCTAACCCCACCCCTCCTTGTGGGAAGGCAGCATCGCTGTTATGCTGGTTGTCTGAAGGAAACACCTTACTGCTGTCACATGGTAGGACATTGAGGAACGGTTGTTCCAGCCATTATAGCTCGGTTGCTTCATCACGATAGGCAAGCCCAACCACCACGTCAAGGTAGCAACAACGGTCGTGTGCGCGGCAGTCCGTTCTGTTTTAATTTACGGCAGAGAAACATAGCCATTAAGAGTAGGAGATACTCGTAAGCTACTAGCGTTTGACCATAGAAGCCTTAGAAATATTGCTGGCGTCTGCTGGAATCACCGGGTAAGTAATAGTGAGGTTAGACGCAGAGTATTAGGGAATGATGGTAAATCAGTTGATGAGGTTGTGAATCTTCATCGACTGAGATGGTCGGGCTACGTGTTGAGTGTGCCTGAACACCGATTACCATGACGTGCAATGCTAACCGGTGTTGGAGATGGTTGAAAGAAATTTAGGGGTGGCCAAACCAAAAACGTGGCATCAGTTCATGAAGTCACTAATTTCTAGTCTAAACCATGTTGATAGATGCAGACTACTTGGTTGGGGTCCGTGTGATTATCGTAGCCAATGGTTGGAGATTCTTGGTGACATGGCTCAGAATCGATCACAATGGGGTCCGTGTATGCACTCTCTGTCTTCCCTTAAACTAAGAGATTAAAATCACTTCATATCTTTCTTTCTACGAACTAATTCTCTCTTCCTGTACTATATCCTTATATTCAATCTTTCTTTTATATATTACCACCTCTGAATTAACTACTTTTATGAATCCGGTGTTTATCTTGCTGTGCTAATGCTCTATGGCAACTTGGACCGGTGCATATATGTACCTGGTCCTACGTTGTAGCTGACTGACTGACTGACTGACTGTTGCTTAAATATCTCTCTGTGACTCAGTCGGTTTCCCATATATGTTCTTGAATCATATTAACTAATCTAAATCAAAATTCTACACTATTATTCACTTACTCGCGCTCATTAGTCTTTCTTTTTGAATTCACTTTGCGCTTGTCGCATTGTTATCTGAAATATCCAGTAATAAACTATACTGGGCTCTTAATATTGTCTTCTAATTTCTTACACGGCCGGGATTTATTTAATAAAAGTTATCAGAGTACTTTGGATCATTAGTAATTGACTTTTGTTATGATGTTTGTACTTAATCTTACATCATGATTCAAGATAGTAAGTCAGTCAATCAGTGCCTACCTCAAATTCAATGTTAGACTTTGCTAATTTGTCAAATGCTGAATTGTAAGATCACACTTGACTTATCAAAACAGCATTGTATATTCAATCTACAACATGTGATTTCAATCATATTATGGTAAAACAAAGATTTCGATTTGCCTCCACGTTGTGAATCGCATGAGTATGTTGAAAGGAATGGAAATTGTATTAAATTGATGAATCATATGACCGTTAGAAATAAGAAAGCAGTTAATACCGAACTGTTTACCATATGTGTAGTCATGTGACGTGAAAATTACATCGCCATACTCTTCAAGGAAGCTGATCACAACTTCGTCCATCAACTATCTGAATAAACACAATGCCAAACTCAGATTATTATTTTAGTTATATGATGAAGGTAAGCAAAGTAAGTAAATATATACTTCACAGTGTTAATTAGACTGCTAAGAGATGATGATTATATGGAGAATAAGTAAGAGTTTTAATTGGTGATGCCCTTAAAAAATGTCTTGAATGCCTTTAACACATTATTCATATGTCGACTGCCGACAAACAACTGATTCTTGCTATCTTCTGCTTACTTCTTTATTTACTTAGACAAATATCACCAATGCTTGATAGACTCTTATGCATAGAATAACTTTAATTATGACTGTATGGCTTTAAGAAATGAGTCACATGTGAAAAACGCTTCCTTCACTGAAATCTCTTCATTTTGCCTAAACCTTATTCCTCTTCATTCAACATCTGTCAGTTGAACCTGAACAATTCAAAGTTCTTAACAGGATGTAATATTACTTTGCATGTAATAACTTCAGTTCATTCAGTTATGTGAAACACATGAGATAAACCCAAATATGGTGAATTTGTTCATTCCTATTTTGACAAAGTTTCATATGAGCTCCATTTTCATACTTTGACCTATTCAATCTATAAATCAGTTCAATGAAATTCAACTGAGGTTAGTGTAATTCTACGAATGTTCATTGAATAAGAAGTCTTATATTTCAATCCAAACACATGTCACATAGTTGAATATAGTTGAATGAACTTGTATAATGGACTCGTAGTGACATTGGGCCCTAACACGAGACAATATGGCAAATAGATATTCAACATTTAACACAGAGAAAAACCCAACTATGGAGAAGAGAAGAATGAACAGAGTGAATTCAAATTGATCGGACGGCATGGCTCAGCCTTGCAAGCTTGGTCAACCTTAAGTGTTGTAACATAATCTCTTATTCATATTAAATATCTTGTTCTATCTCTCTAGCCTAAGTTTGTTCTCCATCATATAGTGGTGATTGTTACGATGCAATGAGTTGGTGTAGACAATGATTTGAGTTACATGTAAGATCTTATAGATTAGGCAGATACATCATTACAAATTCACGATTTTAGAATCAGGTCTATTATTGAAGCAGTACCAGTGTCATAGTGGATCATAATTCTACAGACTATCCTGCTAATTCTATATGAACGAAGTGATGGTAAGTGAAATGGCGATGAGTTGACATTGAGCAGTAATTCCATGTTGAAATTCCCTGGAATAGTATGATAGTTACAATTAAGGAATGATATCAGTTATATTAATCGTATTTTCACATAACATGCATAACGTATTGTAATGAACCGACAATAAGTAAGTACAATGTTTATGAAATAATGGAATACGGACAAAATGTCCATCACATCGATCATCTTCATTGACTGCAGTAGAATCTTCATTTGCCAATAAAAGTGTGTTCGTATTCTGAATAAAACAAAAAAAATTAATCAATATTATAAACATTTCAATAGTTGAGATCATATATCAATTGAATACCGTTTAGAACATCATGGAAAACTTGAAAACACTAGACGGTGGTCTACTCAATTGGTTTCGCTTGCAGAATTATCTTTCGATCTCCACTAAATGGAATATGAAAGTAGACAAGATGTAGATCACGATATACAACTTCAATTATTTAACTAATTGTAGTTTAGTTAAATGTACTCGCTTCGGCGGTACATATACTAAAATTGGAACGATACAGAGAAGATTAGCATGGCCCCTGCGCAAGGATGACACGCAAAATCGTGAAGCGTTCCATATTTTTAACTCCGCCTGAAGTCCCTCCGGGGGCTACTGCCGGTCCCAAGCCCGGATAAAGGAGGAGGGTTGGGCATGGGGTTAGCGTCCCCATCCCGTAGAAAACTAACTCGCTAAAAAAACGCTAACCAGAAAAAATTATTCAAACCTTCTAAACTCTGCCCTGGGAGTCAGAAGGTCTTCATTTAGAAGAATTATGACGCCTCATGATGAAAGCCGAATTCCTTCGGAAGTTACGAGGCCGATGCCTCTTCTGACAACCAGAGCGACCATTTATTTAGGTACATGGAATGTTCGTACAATGTGGGACACCGGAAGAGCCTTCCAAATTGCTGCAGAAATGAGAAGATACAACCTAGAGGTACTTGGGATCAGTGAAACACATAGGACACAAGTTGGACAACAACGACTAACTACAGGAGAGCACCTGTTATACTCCGGCCATGAAGAAGAAAATGCACCACATACACAAGGAGTTGCATTGATGCTGTCCAAACAAGCGCAAAATGCACTTATAGGATGGGAATCTCATGGACCAAGGATCATCAAAGCCTCGTTCAAAACAAAGAAAGAGGGCATTTCAATGAACATCATCCAATGCTATGCGCCTACCAACGACTACAATGAAGACGCTAAAGATCAATTCTACAATAGGCTGCAGTCAATCGTCGAGAAGTGCCCAACAAAGGACCTGACCATTCTGATGGGAGATTTCAACGCCAAGGTTGGAACGGACAACACTGGATATGAAGACATCATGGGACGACACGGACTGGGAGAAAGAAACGAAAATGGTGAGAGATTTGCAAATCTATGTGCCTTCAATAAGCTGGTCATAGGCGGCACCGTATTCCCACATAGACGCATACACAAAACCACATGGACTTCACCGGATCACTTTACACAAAACCAAATCGACCATATTTGCATCAACAAGACGTTCAGGAGGACTATAGAGGACGTGAGAACCAAGAGAGGAGCTGATATAGCATCAGATCATCACTTGCTGGTCGCCAAGATGAAATTGAAACTCAAAAAGCACTGGACAACGGGGCGGACAATACCACAAAAGTTCAATAGGGCCTTTCTCCAGGATACTAACAAACTCAACAAATTCAAGATAGTCCTCAGCAATAAGTTCCAGGCCTTTGATGATTTACTCAATGGAGAAGGAACTACTGTGGAGAGCAACTGGAAGGGGATCAAAGAGGCAATCACTTCAACATGTCATGAGGTCCTGGGTCACAAGAAGCACCACCACAAGGAATGGATCACTGTTGATACACTGGATAAGATTCAAGAAAGAAGAAACAAGAAGGCGGCGATCAATACCAGCCGAACAAGAGCAGAAAAAGCTAAGGCACAAGCTGAATACACGGAAATAAACAAACAAGTGAAGAGGAGCATCAGAACCGACAAACGTAAATATGTGGAAGATTTAGCAACGGCGGCGGAAAAGGCTGCAAGAGAAGGAAACATGAGACAATTGTATGACACGACAAAGAAACTCTCTGGAAATCGCCGCAAACCAGAACGACCAGTGAAAAGCAAGGAAGGCAAGGTAATCACCCACATTGAAGAGCAACAAAACAGGTGGATAGAACACTTCAAAGAACTCTTGAATCGACCAGCGCCACTGAACCCACCCAGCATCGAAGCAGCACCCACGGACCTCCCAATCAATGTTGGCCCGCAAACAATTGAAGAAATCAGCATGGCCATCAGACAAATCAAGAGTGGCAAAGCAGCAGGACCGGACAACATCCCAGCAGAGGCACTAAAAGCAGACGTAGCGGTAACTGCAAGGATACTCCACATTCTCTTCAATAAGATTTGGGATGAGGAACAAGTACCAACAGACTGGAAAGAAGGACTTCTAATCAAAATACCGAAGAAAGGCGATCTCAGCAAGTGTGATAACTACAGGGGCATCACTCTTCTCTCAATACCGGGAAAAGTCTTCAACAGGGTATTGTTAAACAGGATGAAGGACTGCGTAGACGTCCAACTTCGAGACCAACAGGCAGGATTCCGTAAGGATAGATCGTGTACAGACCAAATCGCAACTCTACGGATCATTGTGGAACAATCAATTGAATGGAATTCATCACTCTACATCAACTTCATTGACTACGAAAAGGCATTTGACAGCGTGGACAGAACAACACTATGGAAACTTCTTCGACACTACGGCGTGCCTCAGAAGATAGTCAATATCATACAGAACTCATATGATGGATTACACTGCAAAATTGTGCATGGAGGACAGTTGACAAAGTCGTTCGAAGTGAAGACCGGTGTTAGGCAAGGTTGCTTACTCTCACCGTTTCTCTTTCTCCTGGTGATCGACTGGATCATGAAGACGTCAACGTCTGAAGGAAAGCGCGGGATACAATGGACATCCAAGATACAGTTGGATGATCTAGACTTCGCAGACGATCTGGCCCTTCTATCCCACAGGCAACAACAGATGCAGGAGAAGACAAACAGCGTGGCAGCAGCCTCAGCAGCAGTAGGTCTCAACATACACAAAGGGAAAAGCAGGATTCTCCGATACAACACAGCATGCACCAATCCAATCACAATTGACGGAGAAGATTTGGAAGATGTAAAAACCTTTACATATTTGGGCAGCATCATTGATGAACAGGGTGGATCTGATGCAGATGTGAAGGCGCGGATCGGCAAAGCAAGAGCAGCATATTTACAACTGAAGAACATCTGGAGCTCAAAACAACTGTTAACCAACACCAAGGTCAGGATTTTCAATACAAATGTCAAGACAGTTCTACTGTATGGGGCAGAAACCTGGAGAACTACGAAAGCCATCATCCAGAAAATACAGGTGTTTATTAACAGCTGTCTACGCAAAATACTTCGGATCCATTGGCCGGACACTATTAGCAACAACGTACTGTGGGAGAGAACAAACCAGATCCCAGTGGAGGAAGAGATCAGGAAGAAGCGCTGGAAGTGGATAGGACACACATTGAGGAAAACACCGAACTGCGTCACAAGACAAGCTCTCACATGGAATCCTGAAGGTCAAAGGAAAAGAGGAAGACCAAAGAACACATTACGCCGAGAACTGGAGATAGACATGAGAAAAATGAACAAGAATTGGATGGAACTAGAAAAGAAGGCCCAGGACAGAGTGGGTTGGAGAATGCTGGTCAGCGGCCTATGCTCCATTGGGAGTAACAGGCGTAAGTAAGTAAGTAAGTAAGTAAGTTTAGTTAAATCAGTATACTGAACCATTTTGAATTGTATTAGATATGTTATCAAATTCTATACTACCAATGTTTCTATAGAATATTTATGTTCTTGGTGATTATATCTAATGATGAATCACAAAAAGGATAGTGAATTGAGGACACATAAAATGTGTACATATGCACTAATGTCCATGAAACTAAACAATGTTCTCACTTTCAATTAAACTTTCATCGACCTTGGAAATTAATGATATACTGGTGGAAATATAATCATTTATAATAGTACACGTACTTTAATAAGCAATACACATTCATATTGTTAGACTTTAAGGACATGAAAAAGATCATGTTTATTTGGTTTCATGCAACTAAGTTGTGAATAGAACATGTGAAATATGATAAATACATGTGTATATTGTGTAAGATCTCTCTTTCCCATCAAGTGTTTATCGTGAATTAGCATACACAAACGGAAAACCAAGGTCCTCAAATTCAAAACGGAGAATAGCAATCCAATCACTCTTGATGACGAAACTTTGGAAGATGTCGAATCCTTCACATACCTGGGAAGCATCATCAATGGACAAGGAGGTTCACATGCAGACGTAAATGCGAGGATTGGTAAAGCAAGGACAGCATTCCTACATTTGAAGAATATATGGAACCCGAAACAACTTTCAATCAATATCAAAGTGGAAATCTTCAATACGAACGTCAAGGCAGTTCTACTGTATGTACGGAGCTGAAACTTGGAGAACTACAACGACCACCATCAAGAATGTACAAGTATTTATAAATGGTTGTCTACGCAAGATACTCAACATCCATTGGCCGGATACCATCAGCAACAGCATTCTGTGGGAGAGAACAAACCAACTTCCAGGTGAAGAAGAAATTAGGAAAAGACGATGGAAATGGATAGGACATACATTACGCAAATCATCAAACTACATCACGAGGCAAGCCCTAGCTTGGAAATCCTGAAGGGAAGCGGAAAAGAGGAAGGTCAAAGAACACATTGCGTCGGATAATAGAAGCAGATATGAAAAGGATGAATTACAACTGGACGGAGCTAGAAAGGATAGCCCAGGACAGGTTTGGATGGAGAATGCTGGTGAGCGGCCTATGCTCCTTCACGACGAGTAACAGGCGTAAGTAAGTAAGTAAGTAAGTAATAAATTAGTTAGTTAGTAAGTTTATCGTGAATTGTTTATGAACACACTGGTATGATTTCAATATTTCTCATTAAGATCTGTCCTAATTTGAAATGCACTTCTAGCTGAAGTTGTCTTATATTGTTTGATTATATATCTGATTATATTACCATGGACAGAGTGAATGCTGATAATTACACACCTATTATTATCACTCTGTTTATTTCACTGAAAAGTATACAAGATGATTGATAGACTCATTCAATTACTTTACTCCTTATTGTCATTATACACGTTGTTACAAACCGATCTTTTAGCAATAGTTCACATTTGAATGTATAAAAATGCCTCTCAAACATCGCGCTAGTGATACATACATATGTCTGAAGATGCCACATTTATTCGAAGTTTGACAACGCTTTATTCCGTAACATCTTCTAATATGAATCGTATCCACCAAGTGAAATCAAAAGACAGAAGCAAGGAGGTTCTAAGATATATTTGACAAGCTATCAATATATCGAGAATCGTCTGATCTAATCTGGCTGGGGATTGCATGGGTTGTTGAATACGGCGTTCCCACTCGTGATCTGGTTCGGATGCATGACCGAACGCCTTCAGCTAGGTGAGTCCAGTGAAGCTAATGTGGTCAGCATCCAATGTCGAAAACTTACGGATCTATTTATTTTGGGGATTTATTTACCGCTACATGTCTATTAAATCTCAAAATTCGCCTAGTTATAACTTATCAGCGTCGCATTCATTTTATAAATGACTTACGACTAAATGCTGTTCTAATTACTGAAAAACTCGACGAGATAAACCTCAGTTTCTAGCATAGTTGCTCCCTAGAATATACTTTAAGAGGCATGTGCCATATATGATGAACTAATCTTGTGAATAATTCACCTTGATTTAAGTTGGGTTGCATTTACTGGCTGTTAGAAGATGGTAGTTTATTTTCGAACAAACATATTACGTTCTAGAAAGAACTAATCCTGGGAAACGCCTGATGAGACAAGTTTTGTACTTTTGATTAAGACTATTATTAATATTTGCTGCGGCTTTTGTGATTAAGGCATGGTGGTAAATGTTTTGCGGCTCGAGTAGTCAGTCCTTCTGAAGTTTTATTGCCCCTATCCCCAAACTTACTTTTTTGAACAACAGGTTTGTACTTCATTTGAAACACTAGTTGAAACCCTATCGGGAATCAACATATTCCTCAGTGATAGTAATTCTATTTGTTTATTCACTCTCACTTCTGAACTATTGAAGATGTGGTCCAAATTGAACGACATTTCTTTTTCTTAAATGAACTACTTCTGAGCAGTCAACATGATATATATATATTTATCGACATGTGGGTTTTCTAGTGTCTAACCTCAACCAATCCATGAATCCCGCGAGCGGGACCGTGGATGCGCACTGCTGAGGAGTCCCACAATAGGACGAAACGGCCGACCAGTACTTCCAGGTTTTTCATGATGGCCTAACATCAATCGGTCTATGATCTTAATTATTGAAATTATTATAGTGTCCACGAAACCCATCTGATATTCATGTATTATGTTTAATCTAAAAAGAGTGAGTTTATTTACATGAATGATATCATAGAAGATCCAATAAATCTCACAGATCATTTCTGACAGAAAAGTAACGAAAGCTTTATAGTTAAATCATCTGTTTCAGACGAAGCATCATTCACAGAAAGATAGCAGTTTAATAAAGATTACAAATAGATTGAATTACTTAACTCTATGTATCGCAAGTGAATACAAGTCACCATAGTAGACTAATGTTATATGTGACAAAACTGGAGGTTTAACTGGTTTTAAACTAATAAAATTGTTTGCTTTTATTAAATCCGCTAAAACGGAATAGTATATACTGGGACACTCTAGTTATATTGTCAAGCATGCTGGTCATATGTTTAAAATATCCCTGATTTCATTTCAGCTAGTCAACATACGTTCATATTGTTCACTGATATTCTAGACAAATTTAGATTATCATTGAATAGCATCAATATTACCTCTGTAACACTGGACATTTCACTTTTTAAATCCATTACTGGTCCTTGACCAGGACCAACACCTCCACCACCACGAAATACCACAGCACGTGATTCAGCTACACCTCTTTTCCCAGTTGCTTTGGTTGATGGTTCTCTTAAATAATCCATAGCTTTCATATGCTCCCATTTGACCATTTCTCTTTCTTTTTTCACATCGGTAAATCGTACACCTTAATAAGTAAAACAAATGTGAGATAAGCATATCAATGTGTAAAGGATAGTGAAGTTGAAGGTACCGATTCCCCGAAATGAGATGGAAGACAACAAACAAATAGAGAATGTGAAAAAACCTAATAAAATAGTTTGTTAATTCATAACCGTCCAAAGAAGGGACAGAACTTTCATGAATTTCTTCTGAATTCAAAAACTTAGGATCATAGGTTCTGAACCTCATCACTTCCGCTATATGTAGGAGATTGAAAATGACGAAGGTATATAATACATCGCTTGGAATGATCATAGACAATATCGCTAACTAAATACTCGTTGAATGATATTTTGGAGAAATAGAACTTTGTTATTAGCGGTCAACATCCGAAACTTGGTTTTTTTCATGTTTACGTATATTTCTTTAAAAAACGTCTCAAGCAGTTCATCTCTATCAGTATGCTACTGATAAACTACTACTCATTTAAAGCATCCATTGAGCAGATTATTTTAGCTCTACACATTAAACATGTAACCAGATTTCTTATGTAATGGATGTGTGTCGACAAACAAACGATCTCATTCTAAATAGGCTTCTACTTAAACGAGCTATCATCTTGTAACTGTTAAGAACCAGTTAAAATACATACTGACTTAATGAATAAAGGGATCATATACATCGAATTCACATGACAATTCAAAGCTACACATAAATAAGTATCATAATTTACATTGATAACCAGAATTGTTAAAAAAAAATAAACAGATTGATTTACAAAATGGATTATATTTTGCTGTTTCAGCATTTCTTAAACTTGCGCATTGATTTCCAATAGCTTTATATGCTTCATAGAAATGCCAAACAATAATAATTGGTGGAGCAAGTGGTGATCTATGAACATAATCATTGATCATTTGATATCTTTGATAATTCCAATAGTATGTTGATGCACTCTCTATTTCTTCGTAGGTTTTACTGGAAAAAAATATCAGTTAAAATGTAGGCTACTTATATTTAAAACAGTAGTTCATCTTATAAATAAAAATAAAGAGAAACAGTGTGTCTTATTTTCCACATTAATTTACAATAAATTGAAATCAGTGATAGTTTAATGAGAAAATCTTCAGGTTAACTCTACGAGATTCTTGGTATTAAAACTAAAGATCTCTGTACGATGGTATAGTTTTAATATCATATTCACACCCATATTAATAAACTTGAAGATGCCACAGGTATTTGGAGTTGGACAACACTTTAACCAGTAACACCTTCTACTATGCATCGTATCCACCAAGTGAAATCAAAAGACAGAAGCTAGGAAGTTCAAAGATATATTTGATAATCTATCAATATATCGTGGATCGACTGATCTAATCTGGCTACCGATTTCAGGGGATGTTGAGCACGGCGTTCCCACTCGTGATCTGCTGTGGATGCATAACTGAGCGCCTTCAACATGGTGAGTCCATTCAAACTAATGTGGTCAGCATCTAATGTCGAAGACTTACAGAGCTATTTATCTGTGAGATTTATTTACCGTTACAAACTTATTAAATCGACCTATCACTTTATGGTCACCAAATCAAAATGTCAAATTGAAATCTTATTAAAAGTGACTTCAGATAGCTGAATGTATTTTTCTGTATCAAACATCTTATAGTTTTGAATGAGAAATTCTCAATAACATTTCTATGAAACCAACAATAAAAGATTAAAAGGCGAGACTATAACTTATGGACGAACTAATCAAGTATGAGATTTTTGTGCAAAGTTAACTCATCCATTTGATTAAATAGAGTTTTGGCATTATAGCCAACGTTAGTTTATGATGAAAACCTTAAGTCTAATTCCTAACCCTTAACCATCAACTGTAAGTCATAATTTAAATTCTTCACGCTGATTTATAACCCTTATTTGGTTCCGGTTATTAGGTGGACACTCTCAATGTCCAGGTTAGATGGTGGTTGGAGGTAGTCAACCGGAAACTCTGGACTCAGGTTTCGTACTACTTAGCACTCGTCAGCAGGGTGTACCTGTAATCTTGAGGGGACTGGTGCTCCCTAGCGGATTCGATCTCGCGTCACCCAGCTACACAGTCAGAGACGTTACCACTGAGCTGTCCGAGCCGCGACCGACCTCTTGTAGGACTGAGATATAATCACAATTGATTGATCACTGGGTGGTGCTCAATGTCATGCTTGTCTAGTCCTTATTAGTGCAGATCGAATGCTATTGACACGCATGACATTGATCGCCACCCAGTGATCAATCAGTTGTAACTCTCAATGTCAGTTTAGCATCGTTCAAAGGTCGTCCGTAAATAATAGTCTCATCGAGTGAAACATTATTTCTTTTTTTCAAAAATAGTTACAGAAACTATGACACAGACAGAACTTGTTCAGTTCAATGTGCAGACCAATGAATATATAACTCTCCCAGTACACGCAACTTATTAATTTCTTTGTCTAAACATATAAACATTGATACAAGGAGGTATCGAATACATAAATGCCACATATCGTCATTCGATTTGTGTGAGAGCTGGAATACTGACTGGCCACCTAAACCGAAGTAAGTTGCTATCCTAGCAGGCCACTCTCCGAGTCTTTGACATACAATTCTAATTTATAAGGCAGTGGAGCAACGCAAATTGAAGGATGAAGACATGTACGTACAAATGAAACGACTGGAATTTATAAAAATAGTATTTACTCATAATATCTGAATCTCAATCGTTATATAGCTCTTAATTATTGGTGGTTAAACAATCATGTAATAACTTATGGCATTTTGCCCTATTCATATATGACGTACTGATACCGTCAATTAGAGAACAGTGATTTATTGATTGGACCAGTGATTCATAATACCCATACGATCAATCTAGAGTCTTTATCCATCCTTGAATGAAGTCAGACAACAATCAAAGCAAAATGTTGAAACTTAAGTGACTAGCAAGATTAGTTATTAATCTAAACTTGTGGTTTAGTCTATTGAGCATCAGAATTAAATCACCATAACTTGAGACAATACTGGCTAAAATTTAGTAGTTTGAATTGAGCTACTTGTGAGTAGTTAAACATTTTCGTACAAAATGTAATGACAAGAGAGATCCATAATGCTGGTCTAAATATGGTGGGTTCGAGATAGGCAATGAAAATGTCAGCCAGAATTGTACTGACTGATGATCTCAAACAGAACAATATGTTGAGTCCGTTATTATCACACAAACTTAACTTTCCTTTCTATCTTTGGTAATCTGTCGTTTTTCATTCTATTATTGTTGAGGAGATTCAGAAAAATTTTTGGAAAAATGGCCAAAAATAGGCTCTCAAAACTCTGGGAAACCTCTTGTCTAATCAGCATTCAATAGACATTTTATCAGAAACATCTAGAAGGTGGAAAGGCACATGTCCTGTTTCTGATTGGATGATTGCCTATTACTGATACTATGTTTCGTAACGTTCCAGAATCTTTCGGAAGTCCAAGGCTATATAAAATACTATAAATACCCTAGATTTTTTGTACATAAACAAACTTTTGGAGTAAAACGGTTCTTCCATATTTCACTTTTTCTCTCCCGTGTTCAGATTGTAGTTTAGATTTAGGCTGAAGGTTATTAGAAGAGCTTAGGAAACCGAATCTAGCATTCAATTAGAAGATTTATCTGTTATTTCTACTTCTTTTCAATCGTTTTGATATCTGTTAACTAGCCAGTATTACAAGTTGTCACCATTCTATTCTTAACAGTTATAAACTGAACACTTTTCTTCACCCTACTATTATTCACCAATCGAATACCTGGTTTCTACAAACAACTTACTATACAATCCCAATTCACATTGTTTTAATCACTCATTATCATTTTAATTTACTGCTGACTACTGCTTGTAATGAATATGTTAACTATAAATACGATTGTACATCTTACGTAGACGAAGTCATTTAATAGAAAGTTTTATTCGTTGAATTGTCTTCAATGACATGATGGATTTATCTTTTTTCGTATTTTATTTTATTTAAAAACTTTAACTACTTACAAGTAGCTCAATTTAAACTACAAAATTTTAGCCAGTATTGTTTCAGGTTACGGTGATTTAATACTGATGCTCAATAGACTAAACCACAAGTTTAGATTAATAACTAATCTTGTTAGTCACTTAAGTTTTAGCATTTTGCTTTGATTGCCGCCTGAAATTACTTTTAAATACGATTGTACAGCTTACATAAATGAAGTCGTCTAATAGAAAATTCTATTCATTGAATTGCCTACTACTTAAATTATTCACTTTACATCTAACCTTCTTAATGGTGAATCAGATAGACTTCTACTTGAAGTTAGTTCTGGTGATGTCTTTTGGAAGGAAGACGAAAGCTCCACAACCAAACCATCCAGCTCAGAGAAAAACTCCATTAGAATCATCCACCTGAGCTACAAATCTTCGCCACTATATTGGCTACTACTCCAAATACAGGTTAGTATATTCATATTGGAAAACTGACAGATAAGTCCTGATATGCAATGAAGTTCTTCAGATGTTCTACAATACCATGTATTATTTTGACAGTAATCAACTTAAATAGCTTACCAGCTGTCAATTGAACTGTAAATGTACATTTCTGTGTAGTTATGACTTGCCAGTCTAAAGAATCTGCAATGATCTAATCTGTTCGGAAAGTAGCTAGAACAACATACATTCCATGAGTGTAATAGTTAATAGTTTCTAGCCAACCTCCTCATTATTTTGTTATTATTAGTACTAGTAACAATACAGTGGAATAATTTCCACTTTTTTTATTCATTGAATAGATCGAACATGTCAAAATCATATGTGCCCTACGAAAACATCACGTTGGCTTGTACCTATTATGCTTGGATTCTATGTGTTATTAACTAATATACTGATGTTCAACTTACTTATTGCCATGTTTTCGTAAGTGTAATCATTACAACTTGTTATTAGTTTACTTACTTACTTACTGACTTGTATCTGTTACCCCTCGTGGAAGAGCATAGACTGTCCACCTGGAATCTCCATCAAACTATGTCTTGGACAATTCTTTCCAGTTGTTTACAATTACTATTCATCCTTTTGATGTCCGCCCTCAATTTCAGCTCCATATAGTAGAACTGTCTTGACGTTCGTATCAAAGATTCGAACCTTGATGTTGGCTGACAGATGTTTTGAGTTCTATTAAAATTTTATCAGGTTACTATATTACAAGAGTTTGTTTAACCACCACTAATTAAGAGCTATAAAAACGATTGCTGATGAGTGCTAAGTAGTACGAAACCTGAGTCCAGAGTTTCCGGTTGACTACCTCCAACCACCATCTAACCTGGACATTGAGAGTGTCTCGCCTTTTAATCTTTTATTGTTGGTTTCATAGAAATGTTATTGAGAATTTTTCATTCAAAACTATAAGATGTTTGATACAGAAAAATACATTCAGCTATCTGAAGTCACTTTTAATAAGATTTCAATTTGACATTTTGATTTGGTGACCATAAAGTGATAGGTCGATTTAATAAGTTTGTAACGGTAAATAAATCTCACAGATAAATAGCTCTGTAAGTCTTCGACATTAGATGCTGACCACATTAGTTTGAATGGACTCACCATGTTGAAGGCGCTCAGTTATGCATCCACAGCAGATCACGAGTGGGAACGCCGTGCTCAACATCCCCTGAAATCGGTAGCCAGATTAGATCAGTCGATCCACGATATATTGATAGATTATCAAATATATCTTTGAACTTCCTAGCTTCTGTCTTTTGATTTCACTTGGTGGATACGATGCATAGTAGAAGGTGTTACTGGTTAAAGTGTTGTCCAACTCCAAATACCTGTGGCATCTTCAAGTTTATTAATATGGGTGTGAATATGATATTAAAACTATACCACCGTAAAGAGATCTTTAGTTTTAATACCAAGAATCTCGTAGAGTTAACCTGAAGATTTTCTCATTAAACTATCACTGATTTCAATTTATTGTAAATTAATGTGGAAAATAAGACACACTGTTTCTCTTTATTTTTATTTATAAGATGAACTACTGTTTTAAATATAAGTAGCCTACATTTTAACTGATATTTTTTTCCAGTAAAACCTACGAAGAAATAGAGAGTGCATCAACATACTATTGGAATTATCAAAGATATCAAATGATCAATGATTATGTTCATAGATCACCACTTGCTCCACCAATTATTATTGTTTGGCATTTCTATGAAGCATATAAAGCTATTGGAAATCAATGCGCAAGTTTAAGAAATGCTGAAACAGCAAAATATAATCCATTTTGTAAATCAATCTGTTTATTTTTTTTTAACAATTCTGGTTATCAATGTAAATTATGATACTTATTTATGTGTAGCTTTGAATTGTCATGTGAATTCGATGTATATGATCCCTTTATTCATTAAGTCAGTATGTATTTTAACTGGTTCTTAACAGTTACAAGATGATAGCTCGTTTAAGTAGAAGCCTATTTAGAATGAGATCGTTTGTTTGTCGACACACATCCATTACATAAGAAATCTGGTTACATGTTTAATGTGTAGAGCTAAAATAATCTGCTCAATGGATGCTTTAAATGAGTAGTAGTTTATCAGTAGCATACTGATAGAGATGAACTGCTTGAGACGTTTTTTAAAGAAATATACGTAAACATGAAAAAAACCAAGTTTCGGATGTTGACCGCTAATAACAAAGTTCTATTTCTCCAAAATATCATTCAACGAGTATTTAGTTAGCGATATTGTCTATGATCATTCCAAGCGATGTATTATATACCTTCGTCATTTTCAATCTCCTACATTTAGCGGAAGTGATGAGGTTCAGAACCTATGATCCTAAGTTTTTGAATTCAGAAGAAATTCATGAAAGTTCTGTCCCTTCTTTGGACGGTTATGAATTAACAAACTATTTTATTAGGTTTTTTCACATTCTCTATTTGTTTGTTGTCTTCCATCTCATTTCGGGGAATCGGTACCTTTAACTTCACTATCCTTTACACATTGATATGCTTATCTCACATTTGTTTTACTTATTAAGGTGTACGATTTACCGATGTGAAAAAAGAAAGAGAAATGGTCAAATGGGAGCATATGAAAGCTATGGATTATTTAAGAGAACCATCAACCAAAGCAACTGGGAAAAGAGGTGTAGCTGAATCACGTGCTGTGGTATTTCGTGGTGGTGGAGGTGTTGGTCCTGGTCAAGGACCAGTAATGGATTTAAAAAGTGAAATGTCCAGTGTTACAGAGGTAATATTGATGCTATTCAATGATAATCTAAATTTGTCTAGAATATCAGTGAACAATATGAACGTATGTTGACTAGCTGAAATGAAATCAGGGATATTTTAAACATATGACCAGCATGCTTGACAATATAACTAGAGTGTCCCAGTATATGCTATTCCGTTCTAGCGGATTTAATAAAAGCAAACAATTTTATTAGTTTAAAACCAGTTAAACCTCCAGTTTTGTCACATATTACATTAGTCTACTATGGTGACTTGTATTCACTTGCGATACATAGAGTTAAATAATTCAATCTATTTGTAATCTTTATTAAACTGCTATCTTTCTGTGAATGATGCTTCGTCTGAAACAGATGATTTAACTATAAAGCTTTCGTTACTTTTCTGTCAGAAATGACAGAAATCTCAGAACCTTCTTCTTGAACCCTAGTTTTGATCATTATGATTATGGTGTTTGTACAAGTTTTCTATTTTGAATGTAAGTTCAGATAACACTTAAAGGCATAGAACATTGGATACTTCTTGTTTTTCATAATTGCAAACTACTCATCAATGCTGACACACAAAATCGGACTATAGACTTATTGATATTATGACTAATTAGATGTTTGTTAACAGCTATTGCAGTATCCAATGGTTTATACTTTCAACTTCTGCTAATTCACGATCCAATACCATAACTAATCTATGTCATTAGTGAATAAATAGCTCATTCTTAATACAGTTAGTTATATTACATCAGGAATAATATCATAATGGGGCTTTGAGAAATCTATCTTAAACTAGCGATTAGTAAGCGCATCATTGTTAACAAGGTAGGCGAAAGGTAGTTGGCCTCTTTTATAATTGATTGGGTTCTTCTCTTCCAATAATAACATTATCATTGTTGTTTTTCTTGTATTATTCTATTTCTCCCAGGGTATTGGAATGGAGTTAGAAAAACGTTTCAAAGAGATTGATAATCAATTTCAACGTTTTAATGATGTTGATTCACGTTTGAATGATGTAACACAATTATTAACAAATTTATCTGAAGTAATCAGTAATGTGACTGAAACACAACAACGAGTAAGTTGACAATAGTTAGCTGTTATAACTTGTGAACCTGTGTGTTCTGTTTATTGTATAACGCAATGATACCGCCAATCAGAGAGCAGCGAATTATCGATCGAACCAGTGACGCATGAAACACGTGCGAGCAGCCTAGAGTCCTAGTCTAGCACAGTCAGTTAAGTCCAGAACACCAATCACAGCCTCTGCGATATGAATCATTCATTATTCTTATCGGGATATAACATTACCTTTCATTATTCCTCTGAACAACATTGTACTGATGATGTTACTCAGAGGAAGAATAATCAAAACTTCAGGACCAAAGTGTCTACCTCCGTGAATAAAACTCCACTTAAATGGTTAAAGCACAAGTGGGAACAATCAAGTGTATTTTAAGAAAATATTACAGAATATCTTGGTAGAATCTGGTAATCATTACTTCAATTAGTTGTCTCAAACTTGATTGTTCCTTTGTTTCCACATCAGACATTCACTGCTCTCGTTCTCATTTCTTCGAACTTCTTAACTTTCTGCCACCAGGCATTTCACTTTTGATTGGTCAAACATACTACTTATATCTGTCGATATCAATAGCACATATCACAGTAGTAGTGTTGAAGTATTTTTTTGAACTAGTGTTATTCACAGTAACTAATACTTAGCGAAAGACATAAAGTTGGAGAATAAATAAAAACTGTAAATAGTTCTACAACAAACAAAGTGGGATGATACTTATTTTCATGCAAATACAAACATTTATTAACCGTTAAAATGCATGATATATTTGCGCCACATAATTTACTTGATTTATGTGTGAGCTGTGATACTACCCGGGTGCCCAGACCGAAGCAGGTGGTTTTCTTAGGGGGTCAGACGCGGAGCTTTCGACCTAAAAGTCTGATCCACAAGACAGTGGAGCAACATCAGAAGATGCAGTCCCATAATAGCCGGTGACCAATAATTGGTTCATACGCCATTTGTTCCCTCAGGATCGCGTAGCCCATGTGCACCATTTGTTTGGAATTAGAGTTTCCCAACTCTTCTAGGTGGATCCTCCATATCCATCAACCCGTTTAAAGCTCCGAACATTCGATTTTTGTCCTCTCATTTTCGCAACCAATACCCTATCTGCAATAAGTCAGTGTGCAGGACTTCCCTGACAGTGGCTGTATGCGTGTGGCTATATGAGAGCATTTGGAGAGGGAGAGATAACTCTTTCCACTCTCGGCCGTATCATGGAATATGCGGGTGAGATGTATATATTCTAACAATCAATATGAATCAGACAAAATCATCAATGGAGAGTGGTTAATCTAACATAACCGTCACTGTGACTACAAGCCCACATGTAGATAACGATGGTTTCGATGACAGCTTATCACTATTACACAGAGATGATAAATGATTGAGACGTATTTAATGAAATAATACTATTATCTCGATGGATTTTTTTAACAAACTGAGTTCTGTATCATTTTCTAGATTATTCGACAAATAAATGAACTTCCTACTTGTCAATGTAATGAATTCACTGATGAGGTTGTTCCTGTACAAAAATCCACTACAACTCAAGCTGATTCAGGAACAGCAGAAACTAGAAAACGTACAAAACTAGAAGTAGCTATTCAATCTGCATTAGAAGCAGCTAAAGATGTACTACGACCACCAACACCACCACCACCACCGCCACCACCTCCTCCACCCCCAAGGTGAGTGTGTTTTTATGTACATGTATATGACTTTATTGAATTAAGACTATTTAATCAAATGTAGGAATGAATTTCGCGCTAAAATCCAAGATCTATTGTCCTAAATCAGGTCGGTTCGTCAATAAATTATAGTCTTGCTAATAAGTTTCACTTATTTGTGTCTTTATTCCTAAACAAGTTGAGAGTAGATGATAATTCATTCATCCTATTAAAGACTAACAAACAATAATCATGAGGAGTCCCACTTGAAATCATCTGTATCTGCTGTGATGAACACTTGCCTGACACCGGTCTTTACTTCGAACGGGTCTGTCAACTGTCCTCCATTCAAGATTTTGCAGCCTAATTCATCATAGGAATTCCGTATGATATTGACTATTTTCTCAGGCGCGCTGTAGTGTCAAAAAGCCTCCATAATATTGCCTTGTCCACGCTATCAAATGCCTTCTCGTAGTCGATGAATTCGATGTAGAATGATGAATTCCATCTAATTGATTGTTCCACAATGATCTGTAGTGTTGCGATTTGGTCTGTACACAATCGATCTTTAAGGAATCCAGTCTGTGGATCTTGAAGTTGGGCGTCTTGAGTACATAAGGATTAATTTATTCACAACTTAGGGCAATCCAGTAACTGGTGTGATCATATGACTAGCTATATCTCATTTATCGTCCATAAAACCAGCCAAATACTGATCAATTAATACGGTAAAAAACAGATTGGTTATTAGGCTAACCATAGTCAACCAAGGCTGACTTTTATTTCAGTTTATATCATGTATTAAATATTTAACATATTCTGTAATTTCTTCAGGGAATCACCTGTTCTATTAGCTGCTGTTGTTCCTGGATCCGAAGATGATTCAAGTGGTTCAGAAGAAGGTGGTGATCCTTCAGCTGATCCAGTCATAGTACCTCAAGTTCCAGATATTAAAACTGGAAGAGTTATCGAAAGAACATTAGGTGATCATCGATTATGGAGAATGGCTCCATTTAATTTTGAAAAATATCCTGGAATGAGAATGAATGTACCACCGGAACGAATGGCATGGACTGTAAGTATTTCACTAGATGAATAGTTACTTTCATTTGATTATACTAAACACATGATGTTTAACTATTAAGCTTAATCAATTCATTTGACGAAAAGTATTTTGAAAAGTTTCGAATCATAAGCAAACATGGACAGTGGCTATCAGTGGAATCCAAGACGCACGTTTGTCCTACTTAGGACTCGTTAGCAAAAGCAGGTAGCTATCAAGACCCAATAGCTGGGTGGATAACGCGATGGTGTTTGAAGCAAACGGTACTGGGTTCGAGTCCCAGAGTTGATATCAACTCTGAGATGCAGGTACATCTAACTGACGATTTCCAAATAGGACGAAGTGACGCACTTCAAACTAGATTTCACTGCTAACCACTATAAAGCTTGTTAATTAAGGCAATATAGAGGCAATACTTACAGTATGCACATATGCCAATCAGAGACTGATTATTTACAGTCCTAAATAACAATGGGAAGATACAAGTAAAACAACACCAAATGATTTTCGAATTATATTTCACATTTCCCATGGAATCACAGTTTACTTATTATGATGACTGTATTCACTTATTATATGGTCACGTTTTGGTTACTTTGAGGACATTTTTTTGATCCTTGTTTATTATGGGATATGAATGAATGCTCATCGTGTATATTAACTGGATAAGTGGTAGATCTTTTAACAGAACGTTAGATTTGGTTCCCTAATCTCTTCTAGCAACCTTCAGACTTAATCTAAACCACAATCTGAACACGAGAGAAAAGGTGTGAGGACGTTTCTGTATCTCCCCAACAATACTAAGTGTTTATTTGTTTTCACGACCATTTGTCACTACTAATTGTGAATGCGCATTACTTACTAAGAAGTAAAACATACTTACAAATGTAACCGCTTCATGCTATTTCAGTCTCAGTGTAGCTTAAAATTACTTTTTTAATTGTGGTTTATAAAAGTTCAACTAATTACTGATTTAAAACCCAGTTTATTATTATTATTATTATTATTATTATTATTAATGGCTTTATTCAATATTATATTTTGGTACAATATAGAATTCTCAGCACAGGGTATTTCAACAAAGTAGAAGTCTATCTGATTCACCATTAAGAAGTTTAGATGTAAAGTGAATAATTTAAATACTAGGCAATTCAATGAATAGAATTTTCTATTAGACGACTTCATTTATGTAAGCTGTACAATCGTATTTAAAAGTAATTTCAGGCGGCAATCAAAGCAAAATGCTAAAACTTAAGTGACTAACAAGATTAGTTATTAATCTAAACTTGTGGTTTAGTCTATTGAGCATCAGTATTAAATCACCGTAACCTGAAACAATACTGGCTAAAATTTTGTAGTTTGAATTGAGCTACTTGTAAGTAGTTAAAGTTTTTAAATTAAATAAAATACGAAAAAAAAAATCCATCATGTCATTGAAGACAATTCAACGAATAAAACTTTCTATTAAATGACTTCGTCTACGTAAGATGTACAATCGTATTTATAGTTAACATATTCATTACAAGCAGTAGTCAGCAGTAAATTAAATTATAATGAGTGATTAAAACAATGTGAATTGGGATTGTATAGTGAGTTGTTTGTAGAAACCAGATATTCGATTGGTGAATAATAGTAGGGTGAAGAAAAGTGTTCAGTTTATAACTGTTAAGAATAGAATGGTGACAACTTGTAATACTGGCTAGTTAATAGATATCAAAACGATTGAAAAGAAGTAGAAGTAACTGATAAATCTTCTAATTGAATGCTAGATTCGGTTTCCTAAGCTCTTCTAATAACCTTCAGCCTAAATCTAAACTACAATCTGAACACGGGAGAGAAAAAGTGAAATATGGAAGAACCGTTTTACTCCAAAAGTTTGTTTATGTACAAAAAATCTAGGGTATTTATAGTATTTTAAATGGCCTTGGGCTTCCGAAAGATTCTGGTACGTTACTAAACATAGTATCAGTAATAGGCAATCATCCAATCAGAAACGGGACATGTGGCTTTCCACTTTCTAGATGTTTCTGATAAAACGTCTATTGAATGGTGATTAGATAAGAGGTTTCCCAGAGTTTTGAGAGCCTATTTTTGGCCTTTTTTCGAGAAATTTCTCTGAATCTCCCCAACAATAATAGAATGAAAAACGACAGATTACCAAAGATAGAAAGGAAAGTTAAGTTTGTGTGATAATAACGGACTCAACATATTGTTCTGTTTGAGATCATCAGTCAGTACAATTCTGGCTGACATTTTCATTGCCTATCTCGAACCCACCATATTTAGACCAACACTATGGATCTCTCTTGTCATTACATTTTGTACAAAATTTTAACTACTTACAAGTAGCTCAATTCAAACTACTAAATTTTAGCCAGTATTGTTTCAAGTTATGATGATTTAATACTGATGCTCAATAGACTAAACCACAAGTTTAGATTAATAGCTGATCTTGTTAGTCATTTAAGTTTCAACATTTTGCTCTGATTGTTATCTGACTTCATTCAAGGATGGATAAGGACTCTAGATTGATCGTATGGGTTTTATGGGTCACTGGTCCAATCAATAAATCACTGTTCTCTAATTGACGGTATCAGTACGTCATATGTGAATAGGGCAAAATGCCATAAGTTATTACATGATCGTTCAACTAAAATATTCTTATTGAAATACAAATGTATCCAATAACTGTCAAAATAAACCATTGTACACAACTTTAGGAAAACGGATGATGAGGATTCTCATATTGGGACGAAACAGCCGTTCAGTACGTCCAAGTTTTCAATACTGATCTAACATTCATCAATTCATGATCTCAATCAAACCCATAACAATCTCCACAACTTCACACAGATGACATTTTATTTGTTTTTGTTGAACTACATCCATTCAATAAATAACAAATCAATTATTCATACTAATAATCGTATGGTTTTCAACTTACCTTCTCCTTGTAATGCATCTAAACTAAAATCACCAAACATTTGAAAATATGCAGTTGTATACATTGAGAATATAATATCAGCAAATGTCATATGTTTAATTTCAGAATCTTTAATTCATTGAAGATCCCAATTAGATTGTTTGTTTTGTTTTGTTTTTTGGAAATAGAACCGGGGAGTTCGGTTAAGGTTAGAATAGGAAACAAAACAATAACAAAAGAGAATTTAGAGAAAACAAGCATTACTACTATTACTATTATTAGTAGTATTATTATTACTATTATTATTATTACCATGACGATTAATACTACCATTACTCCTACCATTACTATTACCACTACTATTACTACTATCAATACTATTATTACTGCAATCAAGCTGGATGATTAGGCATATATGAAAATGAATAATTAATTACTATAAAACTAATGACATGATAAGTAAATATAAAATGAGTTTTCTTGAATAATTCAACACAATAGATTAGGTATAATCTATAAAGAGATGTAACTAACTAACTAACTTACTAAACTAACATTATCGTTACTATCAAAGTTGAGATTTGGGGAGATTGCAGGAATTTTAATAGTTGAGCCTATGAGTTACCACTTAAAGGTTCAAAGTAGTGGACGACCGTTTTATCGTAGGATAGGAGTCTTCAGAAGTGTGTATTCATCATCCCGCACCAAAGGGACTGGAACCCAGGACCTTCGGTCCACGTGTGAATACTAAACTCTAAAGTATTTAACTTGCTGGCATTCAACGGTGTGAATGTATTGCTTGCTTACTTATTTACGCCTGTTACTCCTCGTGGAGGAGTATAAGCCACTCACCAGCACTCGCCATACAACCATGTCCTGTGCAATCCTTTCCAGCTCTTTCCAGTTGTTATTCATCCTTTTCATATCTGCTTCTATTCAACGATGTAATGCGTTCTCTGGCATTTCTCTTTTCCGCTTCCCTTCAGGATTCCAAGTTAGGGTTTTCTTCGTGATGCAGTTTGATGATTTCGTAATGTATGTCTTATCCATTTCCATCGTCTTTTCCTAATTTCCTCTTCATCTGGAAGCTGGTTTGTTCTCTCCCACAGTAGGCTGTTGCTGATGGTATCTGGCCAATGGATGATGAGTATCTTGTGTAGACAGCTATTTAAAAATACTTTTAGCATCTTGACGATGGTTGTAGTAGATCTCCAAGTAGAAATGTCTTGATATTCGTATTGAAGATCCTGGTTTTGATATCGATTAACAAACAGTGGTTTTGAGTTTCTTTTATTCTTCAATTGTAGGAATGCGGCCCTTGCTTTGCCTATTCTATGTCTAACTTTAGTCAATTCATGATCTTTTGAAAATATTCGTTTATTGTCTGAAGTGGATAAATGTATCACGCTCGATATAAATCGAAATCCATTAGTCATGACTTCTTACTAGGATTCCTGGAAATCCATTATGAAACTTAACGAGTATTTGAATCGAGAACTGCATCTCTGTGCTAATGTGGTATGGCAACTCAAACTGATATACGTATATACGAAGTTCTACGTTGTTACTAACTGACTGACTGATTATGAAACTTAGATCGACTCATGAACTCAATGAAATGTAAGTTTTCTGAAGAATATTTCTGCTAATAAATATTCACTGATGAGCAGAATGTACCTGCATCTCAGAGCTGATGTTTACTCTGGAACTCGAACCCAGTACCGTTTGCTTTAAACACCATCACGCTATCTGCTTAACTACTGAGTCCTGATAGCCACCTGCTTGTGAAATGAGGTGAAGTTTAAGTCTTTTCATTAATGTTTAGGACTGCGATTGATCTATCTTTTGTTGGTTTATGTACATCCTGTACGGATTTCTTCGATATTGCTTTAATTCAAAAACATTCTAAGCAATGATAGATAGTGACTAGTAGTGGAATCTAGTTTAACGTGTTTTTCGTCCCATTTGATACTTGTCAGCCGCATACCGGAGTGAATATAAACTCTAGGATGCAGATACATCTAACTGACAAGTCTTAAATAGGACAAAACGCTCATCAAACTAGATTCCATTGCTAGTCATTATCTATCTTTACTCATTGTTAATGTAAAGAATGATTAAGAATCCATCAAGTTTCTCTTTCTATTTAACAACAACAACAAGAACAAAAGAAACTGTTTAATATAAATTTGACATTATCCATTTTATCATTGTCATATTTGTGAAGAAATGACCTTAATTTGACGTATCTTTTTGTTTATGAATGTAATCGTAATCTTTGAGAACAACAACGACAAGAAGAAGAACGAGAAGAAGAAGAACAACAACAACAACAACAACAGCAACAAGAACGGCAACAACAAAGAGGAAGAAGTGAACTATTCAGGCTTATAATAATCCTACCAACTGAATTTACGATGACCTCTTTTTAAAAAAGTATTAAATGGATTAGAATGTCAATCTGAACATATCAAACTTAACAAAAGAATGAATTAGGATAATAAATAAACTTATTTAGAATAGGGTGTACTCTTGATAATTGTAATTAAACTTTAACTTGAAATAATGAAAACAACATGGAATGATTAGTAATAAACGATGAGAAATTGTTAAGTATTCATATTTGAGTGTCTCATAGTCTCACGTGCGAGCGTTTAACCACTAGACCACTGAGCCGGCATCCAACGGTGTTAATGTTTAACTGAGACTGATAGGTCCTGGGTTCGAATCCCACTAGACGAAGTCATGAATGCGTACTGCTGAGGAGTCGCACAATAGGACGAAAAGGCCGTTCAGTGTTTCCAAGTTTTCCATGGTGTTCTAACTTCAATTGATTCATGATCTCAACTATTGAAATTACTACAATCTCCTCAAAACCCCTTCTGTTACTAATTCATCTAAGGAAATATACCTAATCACCTTTGAGTTGACTTCAGTCTAAACCTTCATGGACTGTAATTGATTCATCTTTGAGTGAAACTCAACTCTGAGATAAAAATACATTCAGCTGAAGAGTTTCAAAGAGGACGAAGTGACGCATGTCATACTAAATTCCACTGTTGGTCACTATTCATTTTTGCTTATAGTCATATTAGTTTAAAATGTGGACAGATTAAAAAAAGAAAGAAAACCTACTTAATGTCATATTCTCTTTGGTAAATAAACCATTTGGATAGGCGATTGATTGTGCAGCCACCGCATAACCAACCATAATCACAGTTAAAATAATCATAAATGGAATTAAATCATTGGTCACCTTATGGGATAAAATTCAATGAAAGAAACAAACAATAAACTGGTTTTAGGTATCAATGACAAGGTCGAACTTAAAAGTATCGAATACATGTACATATATATGTATATAACGAATCGATCAATGTTGGAAAACCACTGGAAATCTGTAAGCATTCAATGGTCGTTTCATTCTAGTGTGGGAATCCTCATCAGAGCGCAACCACGATTTTACATCATAGGGAATCAAACCGAAGATATACGGCCTTATCCACGAATGATTAGTCTCTAGACCACTAAACCGGGATCCAATGGTGTTGTAATGTCTATCTCCAAACAATCCACGATATTGTGCGACCATCTTTAATTATAATGGGTCTGAATCTGTCAATGTCAAGTTATTCTTAGTCATGATGAATTTGTCCGACCTGTCAATGAATCAATTTGAACATCAGACTGTGAGTATCAACAATGTATATATTTGGAATATGAATTCGTGAGGTTAAAATTTGGTGAGTAGGTCGGGTTGGAAATGAATGAGATCAAATGTCGTTGTTTAGAAAAACATTCCAGATTAGATAAATATTCAGGCCTCCTTTCCTATTGAAGGCCGAGGGATTCAGAATTATATGTGTGTAACTTACGTGTCTCTTAGCACTCGTCGAGATCACATGGAAAGACTCTCCAATGTAGAATGCATCAAAATCAACACAACTTAATCTGTAGACAAATCTGTTTGTAGAAGTGAACGGGATCTTATCTATCTTATGTTATCATCCAATCTGGACTGTTTTCTAAACAACCATATTCGACCTGATTTATTTTGCACACAATCTACCTATATACATACACACACCAATTTCAACCTCACGGCTTCATGCTACAAATGTATACATTTTTCATAGCCCACTCTCTTACGCATAAATCAATACAGTGATAGGACATATTGAATAACCTTGACCAAGAATAACTTGAAGCTGACAGATTCAGACTTATTATTATGGAAGATGGTCACCTAATATCGTGGGTTGGTTGAAGTTAAACATTACAACACCATTGGATCTTGACTTAGTAGTCTAGAGGTTAATCATTCGTGGGTGAGGTCAAATGTATTCGTTTCGATTGCCTATGATGGGAAATCGTGGATGTGGTCTGATGAAGATTCCCATACATGAATGAAACGATCATTGAATACTGACAGATTTCCAGTAGCTGCTGTACATTGATCGAGTGGTAATAATAATAGGCTTATTCTTTTGCTAAAATGATTGACTGTACGTTGATTAGAAATTAATATTCTATTACAAGGTTTTTCATTTACGGTTTCTAAGAAATTTCCTCTCAAATCATTGATGCTCAATGATGATGAGTATTAAGATGAAGTTTATTATTATGTGGGAACTTTTCATCTCAAGTAGGACGAACAGTGAATCTTGGATTCTACTGTTAGCCACTATTCATTTTTGCTTAGAATCCTTGTAACATAAAACAATTTTGGTGGAGTTTTGTTCTTTGAGCTGGATTATTTGGTTGTGGAGCTTTCATCATTCTTCCGAACTACATCATCAGCACAAACTTCAGATGGAAGTGAAATGTTCGAATTTCTTTACATATGGCTCATAGCTTATCGTGTAGATCTCGATATTGATTGGTTCTTTTTTATCTTAAACCTGTCATTGTTTACTTCTTTGTTATGGTTGTATTTTTCAAACCATCCATAAAAATCATCCACCTGAGCTACAAATCTTCATCAACTTAAAGTAATGTTGAGGCAGTCCGCACAAGACCAATTGTAGTTCTTAACAACAATGGTAAGATACAAGCCAAACAATACCAAGTTAATTTAAACTTCACCCCATTGAACAAGCAAGTGGCTATCAGAATTCAATAGCTAAGTGGATGACGCGATGACGTTTGAAGCGAACGGTACTGAGTTCGAGTCTCGGAGTGAACATCAACTCTGAGATACAGGTACATTCAAGTGACAAGTCATAAATAGGATGATGTGTCGCTCATCGTGGATTTCACTGATATTCATCATCCATCTTTGCTTATAATACTTGTGATTTAAGGCAATACTAAGGCAATCCATACAGGATACATATATATATATTAATAAAAGACTGATTAATTGAAGTCCTTAACAACAATGGGAAGATACAAGCAAATAATACTAAGTAAATGCATCACTGTGTAAGTTTAAGGAAGGGGTTTTGTGGATATTATAGTAACTACAATAGTTGAGATCGTGAGTCAGTCAAAGCTAGATCATGATGGAAAAGCTGGAAGATATATTTCCTGGAGTCCTAATGAGAAGCAGTGACCAGATAGTAATTCACTGAAGACAATAGTAGATGGTGGCGCTCAATTTCCTGGATTATTTGAAGTCACACATTAACACCGTTGGATACAGTGTAAATGGTCTAGAGGTTAAGCGCTGGCACGCGAGACCGATAGATCCTGGGTTCGAATCTCTCGGGGTGAGGGATCGTGGTTGTGCATTGTTGAGAAGTCTCACGATAGAATGAAGTGGTCATCAAGTGCTTCTAGGTTTTCCATGATGATCTAAATTTAATTGACTCATGATCTCAACTATTGAAATGACTGTATTATCCACAAAACCCCTTCTCATATTAATCAACATATGCTCACTAGTAACTGGCTTCAAGAAGTATATCCTGGAGTTCTAGTAAAAAACAGTGACCAGTGGTGTTCAGCTTGGTCTGTTGTGAGATAATAACTCACTGAAGACAATGGTGGATGGTGGCGCTCAATTTCATGGATTAGTTGAAGTTACACATTAACACTGTTGGACACAGTCTCAATGGCCTAGAGATCAAGCGTTCACGCGAGATACGCACTGCTGAGGAGTCCCACAGTAGGACGAAACGACCGTCCAGTGTTTCCAAGTTTTTCATCATGATCTAGCTTCAATTGACTCATGATCTTAACTATTGAAAAAGCCTTTATTACACCATCATTATACACATATTAAGATTTGAATAATCTCCAGGCATCCACCCATTACGCATCCACGATCCCGCCCCTCCCACGAGACTCGAACCCAGAACCTATCAGTCTCGCTCCAGGCACTTAACCAACTAAACCGCTTAGCCGGGACCCAACGGTGTTAATGTCTAACTTCAACCAATCCACGAAGTTGCGCCACCGTACACCATTGTCTCTACCCATTAGATGAATGTAAAAAAAGAGAAAAATAGAAAGAAAAAAAGAGAAAGAGAAAGACACAAATATCAAAACTTACCATTTTACCAATCATAATTAATTTTGGTCCTAATGCAATATGAAAACTAAATGTATACATTAAACGTATATAGAATGTGAATAAACTAATTGCAAGACATATACGTGATGGATCTAATATTGGATCTGTCACAATATAATAACGTTCATATTGTATATTCAAATTCTCTCCTTCATGACTACGTAATCGTAATAATACAATTAATCTTAATATAAAACCAACAATATATAATGCTAAACCAGCACAATCTAATTTATTCCATCCATCAGATATATAAGTTCTAAAACTGATCCCAGATAATACAGCCTAAAAGAAAAAGAAAAGAGAATAGTATCAAATCATTTTATTGATTTTCATATACATTACAATAATAATAATAATAATAATAATAATAGTATCTAGGATACACGTTTCGTCCTCCTGGCGACTCATCAACTGGATGTATCTACATCTTAGAGTTGATGTTCACTCTAGGACATTATACACTAAACAATGGTGTTCTCGAACTAATATATATATGCTGCTTCTAGAGTAAGCCAATATAGATAGGGCAACATCTTAATTTCCATAGTTACTGACCAATAAAAGGCTTATTCAATTAGGCACAATCATATTTGTACTAGTGATACTATTGAAATAGAAATGAAGCTCTTGACTGAAACGTTATTGAATAAGTTAAACATTAACACCGCTGGATTCCGGTTCAGTGGTCTAGTTGGTTAAGCGCCTGGCGCGAGGCTGATAGGTCCTGTGTTCGAATCCCGCGGGGCAGGGTCGTGGATGCGCACTGCTGAGGAATCCCATAGTAGGACGAAACGGTAGTCCAGTGCTTCCAGGTTTTCCATGGCGGTCTAGCTTCAATTAACTAATAATCTTAAACTGTTTAAATTAATGGTTATTCATTGAGGTTCGTAAACCCGCTGAATGAGTTGCAATACCATTAGACCTATGACACTTCTAGCATCCAAAAAGTGAGTTTATATAATGTTACTAGTTAGAGGTGACTCAAATAGTTTCATGTTGAAATGGAGAATTAAATTAGCTATCAACTGGACATTTTATGCAACCCAACTATTTATTATTGAAAAGATAAGGTCTATGTTTCACCGAAAGTCCAAACAGTACGTAAGCGATTGTGTCTATCAATTTACATGTATATGTGGAGCCTTGGCTTCAATTTGTTCTTACCTTTAACGTACTCTGGTAATACTGATTTATTATCCAGAGTGGTGATCACATTGTTCTCGTGTACCTTATTTGTCATTGTTATGACTTACCTTTAGTTGACCTATTAGTTTTCATATAGAAATGTCTTAACAAGTACAAATGTGTGATCAAACTGTTCGAAATGTACTGCGCAATATATTACATAATTTTGATAAACTTCATCTTCTCTCATTGCATTATCGAAATGCTTATGAATAGCCAATTCTGTTATATCCTAGTGAAGGTTACGTTAAGGGTAACTTCTGAGAATTATTTATGGACTGTTGTTATATATATATATATATATATATATACATCAGTCAGTCAGTAACAACGTAGAACTTCGTATATACGTAAATCAGTTCAAGTTGCCACACCGCATTAGCACAGAGATGCAGTTGTCGATTTGAATCCCGTAGTAGTAGAGGCAGTAAGAGTATAAGCAGTAATCAGAAAGATTAGGGTTTCAAGATGCTATTTAAATAGTATTATTAAGTGAAATAAATTTGGAAAGAGAAAAAAACAGACAAAGGGGATTCCGGGGACCAGAATTTGGGAGAACACAAAGAGTGTATGCACCTGCGCCATTGCAAACGATTTTGAGCCATGTCATTCAGGGTCTCTAGCTATCGGTTGCTATCATCTCGCCGTCCCCAACCAGGTAGTCTACACCTACCAACATGGCTCAGTCCACTTGTCAGTGACTTCATGGACTTATGCCATGTTTCGGTCTGGCCGCCCCAATATATATATATATATATATATATATCCTTATTGTACAGCTATTCAGTAGTTAGATTGTGTATATCTATATTTCTCTTATTATAAGCTTCATTTCGACCTACGATTTACTGTTCTTGAGTTATGTTCAGTTCATTGAGTACTGTCTTCCGTGATCACAACCAGTCTTTGGCTCGATCTTGTACAAGTGTTATTCCCTACTTTATTGTGTGTTGTGGTCTGTTTGGTTGGTATATAAATCAAGTATATTTGTAATAAATGATTCGTATACTGGAAGCTGTTATTGACGTTCTGGATTCAACTGTTAGGGCTAGAAAGAAAAAGACCAGTAAAGACAATAGGCTGCTCATATTGGTCGAACATCATTGGTTTGGCACAGTGCTAATATTGTATTGTGACGTGTGCTACTGATGTCGATAGATAAAGTAGTATGTATCATAAGCACTATAAACGGTGATTGATGATGGAGAGCAATGAAATTCAGTATGAGCATTACTTCGTCCTATTCAGGATTCGTCAGATAGATGGACCTGCATACTAGAGTTGATGTTTACTCCTGGAATCCAACTCGATACCGTTTGTTTCAAACTCCATCTCGTTATCCACTTGACAACTGAGTTCTGATAGCCACTAGCTTTAGCATTAGGGTGAAGTTTAAATTCATTTTGTATTGGTTGTTTAATGTTCGCAATGATCTTCAGGACTACAAATGATCAGTATCTTGTTGGCATATATGCATCTTGAACGGACTGCCTACATATTGCCGTCAATCACATGCATTATAAGCAAAGATGTTCGATTAGAAAATAAAAATGGTATGTATATGATGCTTCTTTGAGTAATCAAAGGCAATGGTTATGAATGTAATTAAAATTCTGTAATCTAAATGTTTGGACAGCTAGGATGCAGCTGGACGATCCGTACTTCGCAGATGATCTGGCTCTTCTATCGTACACGCAACAACAAATGCAGAATAAGACGACCAGTGTAGCAGCAGCCTCAGAAGCAATAGGTTTCATCATACATAAAGGGAAAAGAAAGAGTCACAGACACAACAAAACAAGCATCAATCAAACCATATCTGACGGATAAGCTTTAGAGGATGTAAAAATCTTTACATTGATGAACACGGTGGATCTGATACATATGTGGAAACGCTGATCGGCAAAGCAAGAGCAGCATATTTACAGCTGATGAACATCTGGAACTCAACACAATTGTCACCGACAACAAGATTAGAATTTTCAACACAAATATCAAGACTGTTTTACTGTATGGGGCAGAAACGTGGAGAACTACGAAAACTATCATTCAGAAGATACAAGTGATGATTAACCGTTGCCTACGCAAAATACTTCAGAATATTAGTTTATCGATATTTAATAAGTGAATACATTTGTCAAAATTCAACCAATCCACCATATTGAATGACCATCTCCAACTGTCTTCGGTCGGTAACTACCTCACAGCTGACATTGTTGAACTCTACTATTCATGGCTTCTTACGAGGACTCCGAAAATTCCCTTTCAAATGTAATCATTAACGAGCACATAATAATTATCAGTATAGAGTTATAAACATTGTTGAGTTTGAATTAAGATCATGAACCGTTCAATGTAAAGCCACTAATGGTTACTGGGCTTATTGGTTCAGAAGTTAAGTTTTCTCATTAAAGACTAAAGGTCCTGAGTTTGAGTCCTATATGTGTGATCGTCGATGCCTAATGCTGAGGAGTTCCAAATTAGAATGAAATGGCTATCCAGTATCTTTCCATTTTCAATGATGATCCAACATTGATCTATTTCATGATCTCAATTACAAACTCAACAATCTTCCCGAGCTTATCATGACGAAAAATTGTGATTTATTTAAACCCTATCAAAAACAGAAAAAAAGGTTATGATTATTATAACCCCTCCCCCCCCCATCGATTTGCGAATCATAAATTCTTCTTTTTTTTCTTTACTATTTCTTATACAAATGTAATATATGATTACGCAACATGCTTTCTTTGAACATTCCCCCCCCCCCCAAAAAAAAGAGAGAAAAGGAACTATGTTTATCGCAGTAATACAGAAAAGAAAAGAAAAAAAGGGGGGAAGAGGAAAAAAAGACGATGATAACAAATTTAATAAAAATGTAAATGAACCATAACATAACTTACCCATGCAATCTTGATAGTTTCGATATTGAGTGAAGATAATCACCAATGTTTTATTGATGGTAACCATATAGGGTAAGGAAGTAAATAGACGGTAGGGGGGAGGCAAAGTAAAGAAAAAGAATATACAATGAAAATGAATGCTAAAGAAAATATATATGAAACTTTTAATAAATGAATTAAGCTGAAGAGTTTTATACTAAGACGAAACGATTGTCTAGTGCTACCAGGTCTTCAATAGTGGTCTAACTACAATTGACCTATGATGTCAACTATTGAAATTACTATTATATCCACAAAAACCATTTATGATATTAGTCAATATATGATCACTAGTGACGATCTCCAAGTTGTATTTTTTGGAGTTCTAATGAGAAGCAGTGACCAGTGGAGTTCAACTGGATCTATTGTGAGATAATAACTCATTGAAAACAATGGTGGATGGTGTTATTCAATTTGGTGGATTAGTTGAAGTTAAACATTAACATCGTTGGATGCCGTCAGTTTCAGTGGTTTAGAGATTATGCGTTGATGCACAAGACCGATAGATTCTGAGTGGCGGAATCTTGGATGAGCACTGTTTAGAAGTATAGTGTTTCCAGGTTTTCCATGATGATCTAGCCTCAATTAACCCTTGAATTCAACTATTTAAAGAAAAAGATGATTGCAGAATATCGTAGATTTGTTAACGTTAGACATGAACATAGTTGGATTCCGATTCATTAAGTTTGAAGGTGAGTCATTCACATGCGAGATCAAAGGGTCTAGAATTCAAAGTCTCGCTTATGAAATCATAGATGTGCACTGCTATGCAGTCTTATATATAACGATAAAACAGTTATCAAATGTTTTCAGGTTTTTCAATGATGATCTCATATTGATATCGACTCATAATTTCGATCAAAGTCGACGATTTCTACAATCTGATGCAAAAATAAACTCAACTTAATCAATATAGAAGTGTACATACGTATTGTGATAAGTGTTTCTTAATTTCATCATTTATATTTAATATAACTTGTAATGGACCTAATTTGATCAACTATCTGATTTAGATGTTCTAAAGGTAATAGTTATTGATCATTCTCTGTTTTGGTAGTATAAATATTCATAATATCCTATTAGAACTCCACTGGTCACGGTTTCTTACTAGAACTCCAGGATATACTTCTTGAAGCCAGTTACTAGTGAGCATGTGTTGATTAATATCAGAAGAGGTTTTGAGGATAATATAGTCATTTCAATAGTTGAGATCATGAGTCAATTGAATCTAGATCATTATAGAAAACCTAGAAGCACTTGATGACCATTTCATTCTATTGTGAGACTTCTCAACATTGCACATCCACGATCCCTCACCAAGAGAGATTCGAAACCTAGGACTTATCAGTCTCACGCCAGGAGCTTAACCAACTAGACCACTGAAGAGTCTCATACTAGAACGAAATGTCCATCCAGTGCTTCCAGGTTTTTCATGGTGGTCTAGCTTCTATTGACTCATGATTTCAACCAGTGAAATTCCTAAAATCTCCACAAAACCCCTTCTCATATATATATGCAATAGTTTACTAGTCTCTTAAATCCATATACATCCTTAGTAGTAGTATTTCCACAATCACATTCACGACTCGAGTCCCGCATGTATGATGATGGAAGCATACTGTGAAGAAGTTCTATAATACGAGGACAAAATATCCCATCCAATACTTCTTTGTCTAACTTAGATCAACGCATCAATTTAAAATAAAATAAAGGAAATGTAATACATTTGATTACCTGTTTAATTTCTTCTATAAATAATGTAATTACCCAAGCAATAACAACATATTCAACAACTGTGATATTGATTCGAAAATCAACTAATAATAAATAACTGAATAAGATGAGAAATGTGATGTATGAAATCTATAAAGAAGAAAAGAAAAAAGAAAAGAAAAAAAGGAGAAAACAAAACAAATAAGACAATATATATACTTTATTGATTATCAATGTAACAATGATCATCTGTGTATTAAAACTATGATCAATAGGCAAGTTGAATTAAATTTGAAAGGGTATTCCTAGAATTGGAGTGAGTATTCATAATCAATAAGGTATAACTAAAGTCACTCAACTGCGTCACAAAACAAGCCCTCACATAGAATTCTGAAGGTTAAAGGAAAATGGGAAGACCAAAGAACACATTACGCTGGGTAATAGAGATAGACATGGGAAAAATGAACAAGAATTGGATGGAACTATGAAAGAAGGCCCAGGACAGAGTGATTTGGATGGAGAATGCTTGTCGGTGGCTTACGTTCTATTAGGAGTAACAGGCATAAGTAAGTAAGTAAGTAAGTAATAACTATAGTCAGATATGAAGTGATGATTTATCAAAGGGATTGAAAGATAAGATAAGTGAAATATAATCCAATGTATCTTAGTTTAGATGGCTAATTGTTAAATGGTTGTTATCATATCTGAGGGTTATGTATTCAGTCATTGTCATGGATAGATAGATGTTCAGTACTTTGTGGTCTTCAATCAAACCAGTCCATGATGTACATCATGAAAGAATATTTCAGATATCGTTTTACATCCCATGATTAAATTCATATCTGCCTATCTATCTTATCTGAAGGTCTGATCCACAAGGCAGGGGAGCAACGTTAGGAAATGCAGTTTCATGGTAGCCGGTGATAAACAATTGGTTCATAATTCATCTGGTCCCTCAGAATCCTGGAGCCCACATCCACTATCGGTTTGGCATCAGGGTTTTTCAACTCCCCTAGGTGAACTCTCCATGTCCACAAACCTGATTAAAGCGCTGGAAATTCGCTTTTCGTCTTCTCAATTTCGTAAACAACACCCCTGCCGCGAGAATGAAATGAGTAGGACTTCTCTGATAGTGACTGTATAAGTGACCTTGAGAGTGTCCACCTAGTAACTAAGACTAAATGAAGGTTATAAACTAGTGTGAGGAATGAGAACTATGGTTTATAGTATGAGTATTACCGAAAACAAAGAAAGTTGTTTACTTACAGTATTATACACAAAACGAACAACTGGTGCCATATAAAAGTCACGAATTTGTGAAATATATTCCAAAGTTCTAGCTTGTAATGTTTTCCGAACACTGAAATATAATAAAATCAGGATTTTTACTTTAAAAGAGTCGATTTAGTGTAGTGTAAAGAAGAAAAAATGATTTAATGATCAATGGAGTTCAGCCGTGTCTGGTGTGAAGTATTTACACACCGAAGACAATGGAAGATGGTCGCCCAATATCGTGGATTCATTGGAGTACGACATTAACATCATTGGACATTGACCGGCTCATTGGTCTAGAAGTGAAACATTCGTGAACGAGAAAAAAGGTTTTCGGTTGGATTCCTTTCGGTGCGGGGTCGTAGATGCGTACTTCTGAGAAGTCCCATAATGAGACAAAATGGTCATCCAGCGCTTTCGAGTTCTCAATAGTGGGTAACACTGATCGGTTAATGATCTCATTTATAATTCAACAATTTCCACAACCCTATTAATATCAGATTGACAAATATCCACTTCAAGACGATTATGATTGTACATTACCTAAACTATAATATCATACCTCGAAATTCTATGTCAATTACTCACTATGCTTAGATTAGGCATAAGTGAGTTAAAAGTCAAATAAACAAAAGACTTACCCTTTTTTACCAGCATCTTCTGCAGTTAAAACATATTTTAAAGTATGATTATTTTGTGTAGATCCTTGTTGTTCCGAAGTAGGACTTGATTCCTAACATTAACAAAATAAACAGAAATACTGTCATATATTGTATACACATGAATAAGTCTCATAGGAACAAAATAAAAAAGAAATTAACTAGAGATATAATGTCAATTTCAACACCTAAAGCGATAAATATTTTTAACAGATTCCTATGGTCCAGTTGTGAACACTTACTACGGTGGTGTTTGCTACTGATGTCAGCATATATAAGTAGTATGTATCATCAATTGAAAGCGAAATGTCTGCAGGTAGAATGTTGAGAAGATCAAAGAAAAGAGAACGAGGGAACAGATAATGATTGGTGTGAAAAGGAAGGAATAATCAAGTCTGAGATAATTGATTGAGAATTTTCTATATGGTTCTCAGAATTTACTAAGCGATTCTGTAATTTTGTGTTTAAATACATTTGGTTGTACCCCCCTACCCTGTGTACTCGTTCACTACACTAGTAATAATAATTGGGAAACTCTGAGAAAACCCATTTCGAGTGGCTGAATTGATACACGGATTTGCATTGCTGAGGAATCCCTCAAGAGGACCAAATAGCCGCCTATAGCTTCCAGGTTTTCAACGATGGTCTTTTTGTTTGATATATAAACCATTATGTTTGAAATACATAATTCGCATAGTGGAAGTTGGTATTTGGTGTTCTGGACTCAAGTGGACGGGCTAGGCGGACATAGGACCAATAATGACGCTAGGCTGTTCATACCGGTCGAACATCATTGGTTTGGCACTGCGCTAAGATTGTATAAGTCATATTTTGATTGGTGAATAAATCACATGATAAAAAGCCGGACATGAAGTTACAACCATGCGTAAATATAACATTCTATGATCGGAACTACTTTTAAATATTTGATAGTACCATCAACGTCATTGATTAACTATTCATTATCTGTAGGAGGATTTGTAGAGAATGCAGTAATTTCATAGTTGAATTCACGAATCGATCTAAGCTAGGCCATTATTAAAAACCTGGAAGCACTGGATAGCCTTTTCGTCCTGTTATAAAACTCTTTAGCAGTGCAAATTCATGATATCCTACGTGAAACTCGAACCGAGGACTTTCAGCCTCGCGCTCGAACACATAACCTCTAAACCACTGAGCCCAGTATTTTCAGGGTTTAAATGGTAGTCTAACATTGATCAGTTTATGATCTCACTTAAAACTCAACGATCTCCACAAACTTATACTGTCAGCTGACTTTTCGTTCAAATTAGACATTCGTACAATACTTTTACACTAAAACATTCAACAAGTTAAAAGCTAGAAAAGACATATCTTACTTCTCCTTCTGTGGTTGGAATTGTTTTAGGCTTGGATAATATAACTTTTGGTATTAAAAATGGTAATGTCAATCCACAAACAACCCCCATAATATACTAAATATTAAGAAAAACAAATAAAAAGAAGCTAATTCAATTAATGTAAATGAAACTACTGATTATCGTAATTAGTAACATACCTGTTTTTCAACAAAAAAATAAATTCATAATAATTAGGTTGAAGTTTAACAACAATGTAATTTCATCAAAGTACTAATGTTTTAGGAAGACAATAACGCTAACAGTAACAAACACTCTTATTGTAGTATATACTACTTATGTTGACCGTTATAAGTAGCAACTAGCATTAATCGGATATGGAATGGCCGTCAGCAGAAGACTGAATCGTTTGAATTGAAAAGAACAGGAAAGAAAACAGAATGTAATTGTAATAACAACAGAATTGAAAGAATCATGAAGAAAGTGAAGGATAACTGAAGGAATATATACAAACAATGCAGTCCCATGGTATCCGGTTACCAACAATTGCTTCATAAGTCATTTGTTCCCTTAGGATCCAGAAGCCCAAAACATCAACATGAAAACCACAACAACCAAGAAAAATCTCCTTATGAACGTTCAGTTTTGAAAGAATATATTCAAAGGGAACCGAAGGAAAGATAAACTCAATTAAACCTTTATTGTCAAGGTTTAGGTGAATGTACTTCGAAGACACAACAGACAATGAACTATTTGACCTCCGAATGATAATCCCAAAAATTGGCTATTATACTAGGCTTACTGAGTGAGACATTAGACGTGAATCACAATCTACAAGACTTCATACGTTTCATATGAAAACTTTCTTTGTGAATATTCAGCTCAAGTGAGATACTTCTGGAGGAATTTCGAGAATCATCTAACGAATTCCTTAAGAAAAGCTTTTTACGATCAAAAGCTTCTCATCGTCGTTTTCAGCCGACGTATCATTCGTGAATGTGTCTAGTACCAACCCACTCATTGTGCCTCATCATTATGTTCACTTACTCTTGTGATGCAGGTTACATAGACTGAAAAAGGTGAAAATTCTGCAAATATCTTCGAACATTATCATGAGTGGATAAATGTTCAGTGTTAGAACGTTTTGTGAACTCAGATTACATGACCTCATCTGACAAATCTTTTAAAATCATCTACATAGTCAAATGATTTGATTCGACAGGAGCACAAATTAATAATTTATACACTTCAAAGACAATAACAAACTATCTTTTCAAACTGCTAGGGTTGAAGCTATCACGAGTTCACTTAATCTACGAACGGGAAACAAGATTCGGTGAACAAAGATAAGTAAGCTAGCTATTGATGTGTCCCAGCCCCGCTAACTAGATTGAGAAGTCCAAGCTTGGAATGAGGGAGTATGTTTTGCAAACACCCAGAAACGATTGATAACAACAAACACAAGTCAAAACGTATATATATACAGTACAAAACCGTCCTTAGGGAGAGTTACGAAATAACATACTAAAAGACACAACGGACCAATAGCATTTAAGATATTTCTCAGTGAGAAATACGACATGAAGGTGACAAGAGCGCCTTTGGCGCGAGAACAAAGAAATTCAAATTTTTTAAATACAATTACAAAATTAGGTCCTTCATCAAATGAGTTCTCGGGATCTAACGTTCCCAACACAAACTCTGTATGCAAAAAATGACACATTCAAGTTATCATCCTTCCATTGGCTTTAACACTTGATTTTCATAAACTGTTATAGTATTCTTGAAAAGAAAACTCTTTCGGCTAAATCACTTTTCAAATTTAATAGTTGAGATCATGAGTCAATTGAAGCTAGATCACTATGGAAAATATGGAAGTATTGGATGGCTGTTTCGTCCCATTGTAAGACTCCTCAACTTTTCAAATGTTGAAAATCTACAGCTCAGATCGGTACTTTTTTATAGTGTTTCACTGATTGAGTTAAATGGTTTGATAATGAAGCTTTCATTGTTCTTCTGAACAATATCATCAGCACAAACTTCAAAGTAGAAGTGGAATACTATCAATCTCAATCTTGACGAACTATAAGTTGATAACTATAAATCTTAATCAATAATATTGATTTTATATTACAAAATCTATAATTACCCTAAATACACTATTCTTAGTTGATAAATTACCACTCCATGTATTTGTAAGAAAATCTTGACAACATGGATGTGCCATAAATTTTATACTTTGACCTTCAGCAGCTAATTTAATTACTGAACTACGACCATAATAAATTAATTCATGATTAATAATTAATTGTGTTCTATGTTCATCTTCACGATAACATTCATTCAAGACACCTTCAGCACGTTCTTGAAAGTTTCTATTAGAAAAGAAAAGAAAAGGGGGGGGGATGATTACCAAAGTTCAATTCATGAGTCAATCTAAGTTAGATTACCATTGAAGACTTGGAAGCATTGGACAGTTGTTTCGTCTTAGTATGGGACTCTTCAGCGAAGTGCACTATAGGGGTCTGAACCTAGGACCTTCAGTTTTGTGTCCAAATTCTTAACGTCTAGATTAATAATATAATCTTCATAAATTCCCCTCATTCACACTATAATATATAATATACCCTTGTGGGCCAGGGTAATTTTACATTGGTTTTCAGGAGAACCAGACACCATCCGGACTTTCACGTGACAACCCAGACAGTACAGCTCAACCCCATTTAGCAGGAGAACCAGACATCGTATAGGCTTTAACACTACAATCTGAATAGTACTGCTCAATCCTGTGGCGCAACCACACAGGTACCAAGCACTCTTGTGGGCCAAATAGCATATGCCATTAGGTATTGATTATTGAATATTTGAAGGGATATTTTGTGAATATGGTAGTAATTTCAATGGTTGATATCACGAGTCACTTGAAGCTAGATCATCAAGGAAAAGCTGCAAAAACTTGATTTCTCAGAGTTGCGCATCTGAGATTCCCCTGAGTGAGATTCCAACTTACGATCTATCGGTCTCGCATGCCAACGCTTAATCTCTAAACCACTGAAATTGATGGAATCCAACGGTGTTAATGTCTAAATTCAACTAATTTACGAAATTGAGCGACACCATCTACCATTGTTTTCAGTGAATTATTATCTCACAACAGACCCAGTTGAACTGCACTGGTCACTGATTCTCACTAGAACTCCAGGAAATACCTCTTGAAACCAGTCATTATTGAGCATACGTTGATTGATATCAGAAGGAATTTTTTGCAGATATTATAGTAATTTCAATAGATGACATCATGAGTCAATTCAATCTAGATCATCATGGAAAACCTGGAAGGACTGAACATTTCATTAAGTCAATCGTTTATAATCTTAGTCATCCTGATCAGGATGTTACTGACATAAAGTTTATTTTATTCAGGTAATTCTTTATTCAAAAATTTATGAATTTTTTCTCAGTGACTTTTATATATTACTTGATACCATAAACAGTTAGACAATAAAACATCGATAGATCTTAGTTTAATAGATTAGAGGTTAAACATTTAATGTTGAGACCTAATCTCTTCAGTTCGATTCCCTATGATGATGATTGCGCTCTGATGAATAGTCCTATACTAGAATGTAACAACCATCCATTGATGGTTACCTACCTATTCCGGTCGTTATCTTCATATTTCAACAAGTTATCTGTTTTTGTTTTGTTTGATTGTTTGTTTCAACACATCATTATTGTCTATTAATCGTATATCCTATTCAAGTGCGTTTATCAAAATCTTATGACCTTTCTCAGTACAACTTACAATAAAGTACAGTTATCATGCATTGTAAACAAGGAACACTATTCAGATATGAATTCATGAATTGCTAACATGGAACTTATGGTCACTCAGTATTTATCATCAGGATCCATCAAGAATTAAGTAAAGGGAACTTGTTGAAATACTTTGTTCAGTGAATTCTATGTTGTAACAAAAACTATAATACTGAATTAATCCATTAACAATCATTATGATCAAATTGGAATGGATATATGACAATAGAATACGGTAAAAATACAAATTGTAAGATTCAGTACAGCGTAACTATTTGAACTAACATAAACTTGTAGTGGTTTTCCTTCGATAACCGATCACCTTCGTAACCGTTATAATATAAATCTCAACGATGTTTAAAATCAGAAGATAACGAAAAGCGGCAACTACAGTTGATTAGCGGATAGCACAAATCACAAAGTTATAAGCACATCGAGTGAATTTGAAGCGGAGAGGCGAATAAGCAAATCCATAAGCAAAGCAAAGGCTAATGATACGATTTGAGTACATACATATATGGAGCGGGTGGACGAATGGTCGAGTGATATTTAAGCAATCAACATTTTAGCTAGAGTCTGTGTCATGTGCTCTAGTTGATCATAACGGTGCAAAGAAATATGCGAATTGTTACTATTCAAATAACATTGTCTGTCAAGTAAGTTAATAAAAGGGCTTAACGAAAATGTAACCATCATCGAAATCGGTTGTAGGATAATTGCTATAATCGGCGAGATTGTAATTTATGGACGAACCAATCTGATATCAGATAATAGGTCTCGGATTTTGGCGCGAAATTCACTTATTCATTTGGTTAAATAGAGTTTTGGCATTATAGCTGATGTCTGTTCATAATGAAAATTCTAAATCTAATTCCTAACCCCTAACCATCAACTGTAAATCATAATTCTAATTCCTCACACAGGTTTATAACCTTCATTTGGTTCTGGTTATTAAGTGGACAATCTCGAGGTCAGTTTGGCGTCACTCAAAGGTCGTCCATAACTTATAGTGTCATCAAATAATCTATTTTATGATACAAGACAATATACTTACTTTGCAAAGCTTCTATAGTCTTCTTTATCAGTAAAATCATCTGTTTTATTCCCTAAAGATGTCAATAGAATTGAAGCTAATAGAGCAGCTGCGATAGGTTCCTGAAAAATAAATACAAATAATAGATTATATTAACAGTATAAAGTTGTGGAGATTGTTAAATCTTATTGAAATCATGAACTGAATAATGTCAGATTACCGTTAGAAACCTCATAGTACTTGTATAGGATTCCTTATAAGTGTGTATCCATGATCCTGCAAGCGGGAACCGAACTCAGGAACTTCGGTCTCGCTCGCGAACAACCCCGATAATTTGAAGCATACAAAGAATATTCATTTAGCTTCACAACGAAAAACATTCATTATTCAAGAAAGTTTACAAACGAAGAAGCGCTAATGGATCTATCAATTTCTATCTTGTGTTCGGTGCTTAACCTTAAAACCGTTGGATCACTATTCATCCAAACCATTCAAAAATTGATTATTCTGCTAATTGAATCCTTAATTCGCTTTCCTAGATAGTTCCAATAAACACAGACTATATTCACACGACAATTTGAGGCGAAATGCAAAATCAAGGATTTGTTTGTCTCTCAAAATAAATCAAAACGATTCATGAGAATATACTATTGTTTATACGATTTATTTCCAATTTAATTAAGAGTCACATTTGTATAAGTTAAACTGAGTCGTATTTTCACAGATGAATTCATGAGTTGATCTAGGCTAGACTTTCATTGAAAACCTGCAAGCCATTGACGGACGTTTCGTCCTAGTATGGGACTCCTCAGAAGTGCACGTCCATGATCTTATATGAGGGAATTCAGCTGTGAAAATACTACAATCTTCACAAATTCCTCCGTGTAGTCGTATTTATTAAAAAGCAATTCAAGAACCTACCATGTGAACTAAAGTCATGAAAACAGTAATCGAAAACTTATGTGACAAGCGAACAACACGGATGTTTCCATGTTGAGCTTTACATCATGGTCAGAGGTCAATTTAAGAAAATTGTAATGAGTAAGGAGGTGCATTGAGTTACTCCCTACTCTTATGTCCAATAGTTGGTTTGTTTTAACTGATTACAATTAGGAAAGAACAGACAGCTTTCACATTTGATAAATGCATCTCACAGGTTCTAGTAAGGCTGACGACAATAGTTTTAAAGATGCGTTTAGTACGATGAGCCATTCACTTTAAGCGATAACAGGTGTCTACCTCAGTACAATGGAAGATGGTCGCGTAACTTGAGGTTAGAAATTAACACCATTGGATGTCAGCTCAGTGGTCTAGTAGGTTATGCGTTAGCGGGCGAGACTGAAGGTCCTGGGTTCAAATCCCTTCGGCGCAGGATCGTGGATGCGCACTGCTGAGGAGTCCCACAACAGGACGAACTGGTCGTCCAGTGCTTCTAGGTTTTCAATGGTGGTCTAACATCAATCGGTTCATGATCTCAATCAGAAAAAAACTTAACAATCTCCACAACCCCTAAACTGATGTTTCCCATAAATATTAGGAAAAACTCGAAATAATTTAGAACATAGCTTTGATGTAAACTGTCTTTAATAACATTTCCGTAGGTATATGCGTTAAAAATGATATTGGAAATCATCTGGTGAAGTCGGTTTATCTATTCTGCATGTGGTCTCCGTGTTTCAACGCCCACGAACACACCACGCGTATGCGATTTCGTGGATGAATTGGAGCCCCTGGGTTTCGACGTGCGGGTTCCTCATGAGGGGTAAGTATATAACACGTGCACATTGGTAACATATAAATTCACAGTAATGAATCCTACATAATACATATAGATATATTCACCTACTTGGAAATGTAGATAATCACCATTTCCTTACATGACTATCTCTTATGTATTGCATCCATACCACTAGTACAATGACTTTCGTCTATGTACTTCATAACATATGCATAAGTATAAGCACTGTCGGGAAGGGATGATGGTCACCTCTCCATATCTTTTTATTTTATCTTCAACTTGTTGGACTAGGTCACTGATTTGATTAGACATAAGACAGAGTCTAGTGCGTACACTTTGCATATAACTAAGTATACAATTACACAATCCGAGACTCATACTTAAGTATACACATTGAGCAGTCCACAAGAATTGTGACTTATGAATTTGGAAACCCTAAGTAATCCAGTTTATAAGAGAATAGAAGATTAGTTCAATCTCCATTAACCATCTAGGTTAGCTACTAAGATTCCTTCTAGTACTCGGTACCAACGTGCATACTAGATTAAATATGATCTAATTAAACAATAATAATAATAAAGTAAATATGATTCTTATTACTTTTTCCATCGTCCAAAATAATTCAGCCATACGTAGTTTACCAACTAATATAGACCATATTAATAGTTCTCTAGCTGGACGATCCAATTGAATTGATTTTGTTTGTTCTTCATCTAATTAAATCGTTTGGGTTTGTGTGTATGTGTGTCCATGTGTGTGCGTGCGTGTGTGTGTGTGTGGTTCAGACAATAACACAAAGTCAATAACCAATAATATTGTATTCAATAGATTGAATTTGGGAAAGCCAAAATAGAGACGTCAGATTTCCAGTTTCATGAAGAAACGAACAGATAGGAAGCAATGAAACAAAGAAAAACACAAAAAAAGAAGGCAAAAGAGGTGGTATTAAGTTAAAGAAGAAAAAAAGGAATCGTACTAATTCTAAGTATAATCGTCAGTAGTTTTGTTAATTCAGCATGTTGTTACTAAGCCAATATATATGTATATACACAATTCTACACAGAACAATTACAATTAGGTTCTCGTCAAAAATAAAAACTAACCATTTGGTTAATCATTAGAAGAGTTTACGTAAGAATTAGGTTTGATACAATCCAATGATTAATACACACAAATACATACATACACGTACACATACACATAAATGTAAAAAAAAGAGGGGAGGAACAAACATGTCACTAAGATGATAAGTGAAGAGGAGCGTGGGAGGAGGAAGGCAGGGAGGGAGAGAGAGAGGGGGGAGGGAAGATAATAAACTGTTCATTCAAGAAATATTCATGATTAATGATCGTGCAAAATTCAATAATCGTTCAGTAAGGTTTATCATTTTCTTTTCTTTTTAATTGCCGTGCATAAGATAATTAATGAGTCTCAATATTCATAGAAATGGAATGAATGAATAATACTGAGCTTAAAGTTATAGATTCAGTGAAAAATTCAAGATAAAGTTGAAATCATGAGTCAGTTAAAGCTGCACAACTGTTGAAATCCTGGAAGCACTGGACGGCCGTTTTGTCCTAGTATGGGATTCCTCAGCAGTGCGCATTCATGATCCCGCATCCCGTGAGGATTGGTTGAAGTTGTACATTAACGCCGTTGGATACCGGCTCAGTGGTCTGGTTGGTTAAGCGCCTGGCGCGAGACTGATAGGTCCTGTGTTCAAATCTCGCGGGTTGCGGGATCGTGAATGGACACTGCTGAGCAGTCCCATACTATGACGAAACGGTCATCCAGTGCTTCTAGGTTTTCCATGGTGGTCTAGCTTCAATTGACTCATGATTTCAATCAGTGAAATTTCTAAAATCTCCACAAAACCCCTTCTGAAAGTAAATATTATCGATTAAAATTATGAATTGATCAATGTTAGAATAGAATTGACAATCTGGAGGTACTGGATAACTGTCTCGTTTTAGTATGAGAATCCTCAGTAGTGCACATTTACGATTCTATACCAAAGGGATTCGAACATAGGACTTTTAGTCCCTCGTGTGAATGCTTGATCACTGTGTTAATATTTAACTTCAGTTGATCCACGATCTTGTACAACCCTTCATCTATTGTTTGAGGTAGATAATTGTCTCATACCCGAAACAGATTAGACTCTATTGCTCACGGTTTCTCACTATAACTCTGATAATTACTTCTTAGAGTTAGTCACTAGTGAACATATGATAATTATCAGTATGAGAGGAGACACATACTCGGAAGAAACGTCTGTCCAATGATTCCAAGTTTTCACCAGTGGCCTAACATTGATCGTTTCATGATGTCAGCCAAAAACTCAGCAAGCTCTACAACCTCATACTAGTAATAATAATAATTATGAACAGAATACTGAGTTGTCTAAAAGATACATTTTAAAAAAACCGCAATCCTTGTAACAGTCACACTGATCCGTAATTGAATAGTGTTGAAATAACTTTAAGTATATAAATGATTCAACAGTGTTATGTACAGTTACCTTCATGTTGTAGGATTTAATACATAAAGGATAAGTGATATGGACACAGTGAAGAAATCATAATGTACAACTTAAATTCCGTGTATTATGAAATATTTAGTGAGAGTTACTTTATGATTTGAATCAATATACATTCTCATTGGTAACTTAGAAATGATTAGATGTCATAATTTTATGATTTTACTTCTAAGCCACTGCCAGGGAACTCCTTATCACTGCCTTCTGATGGCGAGGGTGTTGTTTAATTAGTTGAGAAGACAAAAAGCGAATGTTCAGCACTTTAGCCGGGTTAGTGGACACGGAGGGTCCACCTAGGGAAAGTGGAAAACCCTGATTCCAAGTCAATGGTGTACATAGAATTCAGGATCCTGAAGGGACAAATGGCATATGAACCAATCATTCGTTACAAACTACCATAGGACTATATCTGCTAACATTGCTCCACTGCCTTGTTGATTAGACCTATAGGTCAAAGGCTCCGAGTGTTGCCCCTCAAGAAAACCATCAGTTGCGGTTTCAGCAGCCGAGCAGTATGCCAGCCCTCACACAGGTTGAATGATTTATGTTGCGCATATCTATTTAGTGCCTCCTTGTACCAATATTTTTGTGTTTAAATGATAATAATAATAACCATCTACCTGGATTCTTATATGTATACAATGGAATACAATATGTCATTAACACTATGCTACTATTGGACATTAGTCAAAAACTGTTTATGTATTACAATACAACTCTTGTAGACTGTTGTAATCAACATATTAACCTAACACTTACAACCAGATAATTATCGTGGATGTGCACTGCTGAGGAGTCCCACAATAGGACGAAACGGCCATCCAGTGCTTCTAGGTTTTTAATGGTGGTCTAACATCAACCGGTTCATGATCTCAATCCAAAAGCTTAACAATCTCCACAACCCCTAAACTGAAAATCTTAATTATTTGATCTCCCAAGAAATCAAGATATATCACGGTATCATATAGAGAAAAGAGTACAGGGAGTGTCCTTATAAATCGTCATGGCTATTGTAGCAAACTCTCCTCAATAAAACATCTATTCTTGATTACACTCTATGAACTATGTTTTTTTCTCGAATCTATATATAAGTAATATCTTTACAGATTATAAAGATTTGGAATTTCCATTTTGTACATTTATTGCATTAAAGTAATGTAATAGTTAAATTCATGAGTTAACTAAAGTTAGATCATCATTAGAAAACTTGAAAGCACTGAGTGATCGTTTCGTCTCAGTAAAGAACTCCTCATCAGTGCGAGATCATAGATGCACTGTTTTATTAATTTGTAACAACGTTCATATCCTGTATATGTATAAGAACAGTAATACCATATAATGACTTAAATCATGTCATTTATTTTATGTAGCGGAAACTTGAATAACTACTAGTCATCATTCAAAAGATAAAGATATTTATTCACAGTTGCTTATGCAAAATACTTCGGATTCGTTGGCCAAATACTATTAACAACAACCTACTATGAGAGAGAACAAACCACATCACAGCGGAAGAACAAATCAAGAAGAAGCATTAGAAATGGATATGATATACATTGAGTATAAAGTGCTCAACTGTGTCATAAGATAAACTCTCATCACTTGAAATCCTCAAAATCAAAAGAGCAAGAATAAGCCCAATGAAGAACACATTATACCGAGAAATAGAAACAAATAGGAAAACAATGAACAACAATTGAATATTTTTTTGATTGAGATCATGAACCGATTGATGTTAGACCACCTTTGGAAACCTGGAAGCACTACACAGCCGTTTCGTCCGATTATGGGACTCCTCAGCAGTACGCGTCCACGATCCCGCCCGCAAGATTCGAACACAGGGCCTTCAGTCTTGCGCGTGGACGCTTAACCTAATGAACCACTGAGCCGACTGGCATCCAATGGTGATATAGTCTAACATCAACCAATCCACGAAATTGAGCGACTTATTCTAGTAAACAATTGAATAGAACAAGAAATGATGATCCTAAACACAATGGGTTCAATTTTTATTTAACAATCATCAATCTTTCTTTTTTTTTGTTTGTTTTCATGTCATAGAAATTAAAATAAACAAAAAATTTTTTTCTTTCTTTCTCTCTCTCTCTTCTTTTTATTTTCATGCAATCATTGTAAATACATTAACCATTGAATAATTCAATCTATTTTTAATGGAATACATTTCATGTAGCCATGGTTACAATGAGGATTGAATTTGAAAAAAAAAGAAGAACACAACTAAATAGACAGGGGGGAGACAATTTAAAAAATGTAATTAATTAATTAATTAATTAATTAATTAATTGGTAAGACAAGACAATCTCACAAATACGTTTAAATTTATAGGGGGATATATATATATTTATACAGTAAATATAAGACAAACAAACACATACACGCACACACACGCACATACACACCTAGGGAGATGACTTTAAAAAGTAAATGATGAACATGCACAACTGGGTTTTTTCTTTTTTCTTTTCTTTTTCTTTATTTTTTCTTTCAATTTAATTCATTAAATAACTTTTAATTTGTTTTTTTCTTCGTTTTTTTCTCTCCAAAAAAATATTTTAAATGACTAATTTGTTAGTTGAATGATAAAAAACATAAATGAGGAAAGATTAAATTCAGAAAGAAAGAAAGAAAGAAAGAGAGAAAGAAAGAAAAACCGAAACAAAACAAAAAGAAAAGTAACACTTACAATCTTCTGTAACCATGTCAGGATGATCTAGATGCATCATTTTAACTGTAAGAATACATATTTGTATATATATATATATATATGATTACGTAATCACTTCTAGGATAATATGAATTACATTTATAATTTGTATAAATATGTCATACGTAGGAGGTAAAACCCAGATCACACGTCATTATCATGCCTCTTCGATAGTGAGATGTGTACCATATGCTAAGATGAGCGGTAAACTGAGTGGTAGAGATTGGACTAATCAACCAGCTGACCGATACCCATAAACGATTACAAGTGATACAAAAATTGTCATAAATACAGGCGAGATTCTAATTTATGGACGAGCCAGTCAGAGGCGTTTTAGTGATTTCAAGGTTACGGCACCAACTTCAGTGCTTAATGTTAACGTACGATCAGTTCACAGGGAATTTTGTACAAAACGTGATCATTGAGCGGTTATAACAAATAAAACGGCGAGACTATGATTTGTGGACGATAAGATAATAGATCTCAGATTTTAAAGCGAAAGCCTTTCATCCATTTGGCTAAATAAATTTCTGGCATTATAGCTGAAGTCAATTCGTGATGAAAATCTCATATATAATTCCTAACTAAAGCAAATTATGACAAATATTGCGAACTGGATAATAAAAGCACCAGTAACACCGGCTGCAGCCAGGTACTACAATATATACGGATGAATGGAGAGCGTACAGACTCATACATAGGCTTGGTTATGTGCATCGTGCCGTTATCCACAAGTGGTATTTTGTGCACTCAACAACCGGAGTGCACATAAACAGTGTTGAAGCTATGTGTTCGAGGCTGAAAGAGTATTTGAGACTTCATCATGATTCCAGAGGCCGACTATTTTTTTGCCATATGGATGATTTGCTCTACTGCATGCATTACAATTTTAGAACCTCTAAACCTCTTTCTAACCCTGACAAGTTTTTGAACCACGTCTAAGATGTGTATCCACTTTATTTCTTTGGTTTTGTATAACATCTTTTTACTCTATATTGACTGTTTGCTGATTAGCTAATGTTTCTCAATGCCACTTAAGATTCGTTCAAAGGTTGTCCATAAGTAGTTAGGGTCTCGCCTAAATACATTATGAAGGATCTTTTATTGTAATATTATTTACATGTATAAGCGTTAAAATATATTTACATTAAAAAAACAAGATAGTGATTAGCAGTGGAATCCTGCATTAAAGAAGGATCTGATATATATGACATTGATCACCCACTTAGTGATCAATCAATTTCAAGTAATACTAAACAAACACAAACCAAACATTTATAATCAGTATAGAATTGTATAGATTGTTAAGTCGTAATTGAGATCATGAACTGACCAATGTTAATTAACTATTATTGAATACTTGGAAATACTGAATGGTCACTTCGTTCTAGTATAGAATTTTTTAGCAATGAGCATCCATGCATCCTGTATCAAACCCAAGACCTTTGATCCCTCAACTGAATATTTAACCTCTAGATCATTAAGTTGACATCAATGAACCCATAATACTACATGATCAATATTCTATTATCTTCAATGTTTAACTATCATACATCGGACACAGTTGAATTTCACTAGTTTTCAGTGATAGTCTAACATTGTTTAGATCTTGATCACAATTTAAGAAGGTTTCACAAATGTAACGTTTAAGATGATAATGATAACTTATTACATCATATTGTCAAATATTACTTTGCATGTTATATTATAACAGATACATAAAATAGAGTAAAATCGGGAGAAAGAGGGACAGAGGGGGGAGAGAGGGGGGTAATTACACAATATTTCTTAATCACAATATAAAAACAAAAACATAAAAGAAACACATTAAAAGCTAACATTCACATACATAGAAATACAAGACAAGTTAAATGCGATTCAATAGAGTAATCTATTCAATAAAACAATGAAACTTCTATTATGATCCTTAATCTTAGATACAATGAAGTACAATGAAGTAGTTAGTAATATTAGTAATATATATATATATATATACATATTTACCAAAACAATGAATTCATTTCAATTCGAGCAAAATTACAAATGTAACCCCCTTCACTCTCTCTCTCTCCCACCCACCCCTCTCTCTCTATCACCCTAGTTACTTGTTATTTATGCAATTAATAATTACATAACAATTATTTGTTATTTATACAATATAATAATGAATTAATTCTATTATAATGCATGACAACATTCACTACTACCTGGTTCAAAGAAATTTGATGGAATTAATAAATCTGAAAATAGATTGTAGATATCAAATAATAATAATAATAAAGATCAATAATAATACTAATAATCATAGAAACATTACAAAAATCGATTATTGACTAATACATGACATGTAGAAGGGGAGTCGATGCTCTTTCATGAGGAGTAACAGAAGTAAGTAGGTAAGTTAGTAAGTAAGTAAGCATTGTGTTCACTTTTAATATCAGCTTGAGACAAACACTTGCTGAGAGGATTAATGTTATAACGTTCGTTTTTCTTCATCTACACGAATTGGATGTTAATGTACCATCTTAGACGAATATCTACAGTAGATTCTCTTCCAGTGTCTATTCTACAGGATTTCAACACAACTCAGATCAACAATACATGATTCGTTTAACTAGAACATAGATATATATCCACATTCAAAAACTGATAACAATCCAACATAATACAACACATGTAGAAGAGGGGTTGATAATCTTCTATAAGTGGTAACAGGTGTAAGTATTGTTTTTTAATATCAGCTAGGAACAAACATTTTCTGAGAGCATTAATGTTATAACATTTGGTTTTCTTCGTCTACATGAATGGGATATTCATTTAACTTAGACGAATATCTATACTATATACCCTTCCAGTGTCTATTCTACAGGATTTCAACATAACTCAGATCAAGAACATGTGATTAGCTTGACTAGAACGTAGATATAATTCCAAATCCCAAAACCCGACACAATCCAACAACAATGAACAATCAATAATAATTATCATTATAAGGATAGGGGAATGTATAACTCATCTGATACCTACCAGACTATCTATAAATTTGACTAAGCAAACAACCTAATCATTATCATTCTCTTTCACATATCAATGGAATTCATTTATCTAATACTGTTAGGCAAATACACACTGAAGGTAATATATTTATTAACAAAGAACACTTCAATTTGAGCTAAGATATTATATTGTATTCAACTTTCTTTAACCATAATTGGTAACATGTTATTCTAATTACTTGAATTAGAAAGAAATAACGATCATAGAAGAAAAAATAAAGATGGATTCATGAATTAAGTGATCTCGTTTACGACTTAGAATCAACTTCATTAACCACCTGGAACTCCTCTGGGACTACTGCCGATCACAAGTTCGGATAAATGAGGTGAGTTGTGCATAGGGTTAGCTACCCCACTCTGTTGAAAACTAACCCGTTTTAAAAAAAGAAAACCAGAAAAATAAACTCATTCAAACATATACATTCGATTTACACATTGATGTACAGTCATAAACGACGAAAAATAGGAAGGTGTATATAAATGAGCAATTCTGAATGTAAAAAAACAACAACCTGATAAGATTTGACGACAGATATGTATCATCATCTATTGTTAAGCACATAATGAAATCAGATTATAAGTTTGATCTTAACTACGGGGCTTTTGTAGTTAAGCACATAAGCTTTAGGTTATGATTAAATTCAAAACCATTTAGTGTATTCAAACAAAGAGTTTATTGACATTGTAAACCTAATCTGGTAACTGCTAGGGTTGAAGTTATCAAGAGCTCACTTAATCTACGAACGAGAAACAAGACTCAGTGAACAAAGACCAGTAAGCTAGCTATTAATGTGTCCCAGCCCCGCTAACTAGATTGAGAAGTCCAAGCTTGGAATAGGGAAGTATGTTCTGCAAACACCCAGAAACGAGTGATAACAACAAACACAATTCAAAACATATATATATATATATATATATATATATAGTGCAAAACCGTCCTTAGGGAGAGTTACCAACTAGCATACTAAAAGACGTAACGAACCAATAGCATTTAAGATATTTCCCAATAGAAGATACAACATGAAGGTGACAAGAGCGCCTAAATAAAATTACAAAATTAGGTCCTTTATTAAGTGAGTTCTGGGGATCTAACGCCCCCAACAGTAACATATTTCTATTATCCGGTAGGCTTGCTTGAATATCTGAGCTACTTGTTCCTATCATCTAGATATTTCAACAAGTGATCTGTTTGTGTTTGTTTGTTCGAACACGTCATTCTGTCTATTAATTACACAACCTATTCAGGAACGTTTATGAGGAAAGTTTACGACTTTTCTCTGTATAACCTACAATAAAGTACAATCATCATCAGAAACATCACGGTGGTTGGTAGACAATATACATTGAAAACAATAAACATTATTCAGATATCGATTCCTCAACTACTAACATATAACTTAGAATCATTTAATATTTATCATCAAGATCGATCATGAAATAAGAAACTGAAACTTGATTGACGTCATTAATTGATTAATGTTCGACCACGACTGAATACCTGCAAGCACTGAACGGCCGTTTCGTTCTATTATGAGACTCTTCAGCAGTATGCATCGATGATACCGCTCATGGGATTCAATCGTCGATCCATACACAATGATGATTTACAAGTATATATATGTAAAGAAAGAAAAACCCTGATCTGCTTGATATTAGTTCATATTAATAAACTATCTTCGTACAAATGGAACATCTAGGAAAATGTTTAGTTCCTATAAACTAAACTAACAACACATTAATAGATATTGTTCATTATGAAAGTATTTGATACATTCGTTTAATGTATCCATTAATGTATAATTATTTACAAGTGTACATGAGGAGACTGGGTAGTCCAGATGACCGAGCGGTCCAAAGCGCTGTGTTCAAGTCGCAATCCACTCTGTGAGCGTTAATTTGAATCCCTCTCCTGACACTGTATACATGAGGAGACTATTAATTTATGCACGATCTTTAGGCAATGCTATAGTGATCTTGAGAATGTACACCTTCTTATTAGAGCTAAATGACGGTTATAAACCTGTTTAAAAAGTAAGGATAGTCATTTACAATTGATGGTTAGATTTAAGAACTAGATTTAAAGTTTTCATCGTCAACTGACACCAGCTAAAATATTAAAACTCTATTTAACCAAATAGATGAATGAATTTTGCGCCAAAATCTAAGATCTATTATCTTAAATCTGATTGGTTCATTCATAAATAATGATCTTACCGCGTAAATTAAATCATCGAATGTATCTAATTTCAACGATAAAATGGATGATTTATGTAATTATATTTTGATGCATAAGGTTAAGTACAATTATAGACATACATTGAATCATCTATGTACGCAATGAAATAACATCAAGATCAAATAGAAGTCAAATATAAGTTTGTAATCAACATAGTAAAATGAACAACGTCTACAGGGAACAAATACTTAGATAGGGGTAAATCAATGATACATTTGACATTTGTACAACATATTGATCACCACCCAGTGATCAATCAGTTGTGATTACATCTCAGTTCTACAGAAGGTCGGTCGTGGCCTGGATAACCTAGTGGTGAAGTTTCTGACTGTAAAGCTGGGTGATATGGGATCGAATCCTTTAGGGAGCACTAGTTCCCTTAAGATTACAGGTACACCTTGCTGACGAGTACCAAAGAGCACGAAATCCGAATCCAAGGTCTCCTGTTAACTACCTCCAACCACCATCCTATCACATTATATTAGTACCCTTTCTAGATATATCACCTTTAAAGGTAGTATGATTTGAAAGTTATAATCAAGTAATGATCGTTTTATAAGAAAGTACTACTCAATAAGCCTATTATCATTTGATCGAGTACTTTTTTCATTGGATACAGTAATAACTAGATACATTCAGTGTTACAAATTGTCTTATTCAGTGAACACATACAATACATATAAGCGTAAGTGAGGATGAAATAGCATATAAATATGTATGGCTGAATAACATCAGCAACAACCTACTGAGGTAGAGAACAATCCAACTTCCAGTTAACAAGGAAATTAAGAATATACACTGGAGTTGGATTGAATATACATTATGGATATCTAGAAATTATATCATAAGTCAAGTCCTAAATTAGAATCCTGAAGATAACGAAGTAAGAAAAATGGGAAGATCAAAGAACATATTATGCTGAGAATTGGAATCAGATATAAAAAATAGGGAGAATAACAACAGGGAACAATTGGAAAGGATTGTTCATGGATAGAGTTTGATAAAGAATGCTGGTAGGTAGGTGACTTTATACACTTCAATAAGGGTGAACAAAAATAAGCATGTATACATAGATAACTATACTGTTAATCAAAACGTCTACTCAATCTAACCAATAATAATTAAAGAAATGAAAAGTCATAAACTGTTGAAAGGTTATCTATGTTACAGTCAACTCCTTATCAAGATATACGTTTGGATGAAATGTCTTATGCAATATGAATTGATTGAATTAACAACATTGAAAACATAAAGGATCTTGAATAACATTATTGTCTATTGAACGTCGGGAAATAGAAGCAGATATGAAAAAGGATGAATAGCAACTGAGAAGAGTTGGAAAGGGAATGCTCAGTACAGGGTTGGATGGAGAGTGTTGATGAGCGGCCTATGCTCCTCCACGAGGCATAAGTAAGTAAGAAACTATTGAACTTATTTATGTAAAAATTGTTAAAATTTCATCATGAAAATAAAGTTGAAAACGTTATGTTTTAATAATGCTCGATTGCCTATACTTCATTAGGGGTCATAGACGTAAGTAAGCAGGTAAATAATTACAGTCATATACCATGAATCCAATTGATTAATTCACTTTATTAAACTAGATTTAGATGTACTACAAATAGAAATATCGATTAACATAATTCAGGACGTGCGACATTTCGTCCTATTTGATCTCATCAGTTGGGCGTATCTGCATCTCAGAGTTAATGTCCACTCGTGGACTCAAGCCCAGCACCGTTCGCTTCGAACGTGATTGTGTTACCCTTTTAGATACTGAGTCCTAATAGACGCTAACTTGTGCAATGGGGTGTACATATACCAATAATAGATGGATCAACAGCATTCCTAAACATTAATGTGAAGATTTGAACAATCAATACAAAATGAATTAACATAATAGTTACTTACCTCCTGGAGAAGTTTTTGTTGGATCTGCTACAGCTGTTGCTGCTGTCGCTGCAGCTAATGCAGCCATTGCACGAAGAGTGGCAAATTCTTTAGGCCCTTTAATACCAGACGGTTCTTGACTAACATTTAAACCTTTGTTTGATTTCTTTGAATCAGTATTACATCTGAATAATCGACTACAGAATGATGAAATTTTTTGTATACATGACATGAAACATGATCTAGATGGTTTATTATTTGCTTCATCTTCAAAAAGTACCGGTTTAATTGATTTTTCATTTTGAATTGGAGAAATTAGTACAGAATTAAGTTGTACATGTTCATTGTCGAATGAAAATTGTAATGTATCATTTATAGCTGGTTTCGGTGATTGAATCGGAGTTGTTGTTCCCATAGAAGTGGTATCATAAGCCAATGGTGCTTTTCCGGCTATACGGAAATGACCTGGACCAAGACTTGTATATGGACCACGTGAACCATGGCCTGACCGACTAACATTAGTCACTGTTGCATTATATATAAGTGGTTGACCTGGTATCAACATATCATGTTCATTGGTTTGAGATGATGAACGTCGACCATGTTTATTTCGACTACCTTTTTAAACAAAATGGTTACATATATTTTTATACCACAGTTAGTTAAAGAGAAGTGGTATGTATAAACATGGATAGAGGAGCATTGAAAAGTTTACCACTGGTAAAAAATATAGATAACTTAAAATAAACAATGAAACGTAGACCACTGACCATTGGTTCTATTGTTATCCATAAAAACAGTGTGTAATCCCATTTCTCCTAACCAAGAGATTGCTTTTCTGAAGAAGTGAGATATTATAAGCTCATTACTTTTTGATTTAAATCATGAATAGATTGATGTTAGACCACCATTTAAGACATGGAAGCAATGGACAGTCGTTTTGTCTTCTTCAGTAGTGCCCATTCACAATCCCACTAGTGGGTCTCGAACCCAGGACTTGTCAGTCTCGCGCGCGAACACTTAACTTCTAGACCGTTAGCCGACATCCAAGGGTGTTAATGTCTGACGTCAACTAATCCACGAAACTGCGCGACCATCTTTCATTGCATTGAGGTAGACACCTATCTCTATTCAACACGGATTAGATCTACTGTCCAAGGTTTCTCACTAGAACTCCGAGAATTCTGTCACAAAGGTAATCACCAGTGAGCACATGGTTACATTTATTAACAAGATAAGTCAGTTTAAATCTTAAGATTCATTTTTTTGATGAAATATAGTGTTTAAAATTACTGTAACTCTTTCAACGTTTAACTTCAGTTACCAACTTAATTTGTTCTCGGATCATCCTCTTTTCCTTTTGTCTTCAGAAGTTCAAGTGAGGGCTTGGATCGTGAAGCATTTTTATGATTTTTTTAATATACGTTCTACCACCCTCGAACATCTCTTCTTAATTTCCTCTATAACTTAGAGTTAATTTGTTAACTCCGATGGTAGGTCATTACTGATAATATTTGGATGACGAATCTAATGTGTCTTAGGTATATAAATACTATTACTTGATGATGGTTATTGTAACTCTCCAAGTTTCAGCTCCATATCACAGAACTATGTTAACGTTTGTGTTGAAGATTCTGAATGACAGTTGTTTCGAGTTGCAGATGGTCTTCAATTGTACAAATACTGCTCTTGCTTTGCCAATCCTTGTCTTCACATCCTTATCAAATGTTGCTTGTTAATCGATGATGCTGTCCAGGGATGTGAAAGATTCGACATCTAGAGCTCCTCCATCTATTGTGATTGAGTTGGTGTTCTCCACATTGCATTTTAGGATCTTGGTTTTTCCCTTGTGTATGTGAAGGCTTACTGCTGTAGAGGTGGCTGCAACATTGGTTGTTTTCATCTTCATTTGTTGGAGTGTATGGGATAGAAGTGGTGGGTAACCTATGAAGTACAAATTGTCAAGTTGCATGAAAGCTGTAAATTGTATTCCGTGTTTCTCCTCAAATGTGAAGGCTTTTATAATCCAATCAATCATCAGAAAAAAGAGAAATGGTGAGAGTAGACAGCCTTATTCGATACCAGTGTTGACTTGGGATGTATCTGTGAGCTGTCCTTCATTCACAAAGTTGCAGTATAGTTCGTCTTACGAAATCTATATGATGTTGACGATTTTCTCATGTACACCTTGTGTCAAACGCTTCCTCATAGTCAAGGAATTTGATGTATTATGATGATTTCCATTCAAATGATTACTCAACTGTCATCTACAGTGTCACGATTTGGTCTATGCACGACTTATCCTTACAGAATTCGATCTGTAGATTTCTAAACTAGTCCCAGATGTTCAGTTTAATTTAATTACCAACTTCCGAATTTTTGGATTAGAATTTCCATATAAATATTAATAATCACCTTTTGGATCAAACCATCCAGCTCAGAGTACAAAATTCCATCAAAAAGATTACTGGTATAATAGACCTACAAAGTTTGTCTAACTTCAACTCACCGAGTGTATCTTAATATATTCATCAATAATATAAAAACATGAAGATTATAGAATCATATTGTTGTGCTTCCGAATAGATCTATCGAAAGGTAATTTTCAGAGTTCTAATGTGAAGCTGAAACGAATGGAGGCTAACCATGTGGGGTGCAAGGAAAATGCTCAATAAACATGTTAAAAGATGGTCACACATTATCATGGATTAGTTGATGTTAGACTTGTATAACATAGGATGTTGGCTCAATAATCTCAAGATTAAGCTTTCATGCCTGAGACCATAAGTCCTAGATTTGATTCTAGTGTCAAATACAAGTACAGCTCGTAGCCTTTGTTAATATGATTTAATGTTGTTAACTTACTTCATATTAAGCCGATTGTCACAAAACCTATGTGTAACAGATATATTAGGTGTACATTATTAACAGAGATCATTTCAAGCAAAGATGAATGATGTCTAACAGTGGAAATCAAGATGAGCGTTTCATCCTATTTGGGAATCGTCAGATGGATGTACATGTGCATACCAGAGTTGATTTTCACTATGGGACTCAAAACCAATACCGTTCACTTCAAACGCCATCACGTTATCCACTTAGCTACCCCGTTGCTTGTTCATTAGGCTGAAGTTTAAATTCACTTGGTATTGTTTACTCGAATCTTCTCATTGATGTTTAAGACTACAATTGATCAATGTCTTATTGGTATATGTGCATGCTGCGCGTATTTCCTCGAGATGCAGGCACTTCCAGCTGATGAGTCCCAAATAAGACGAAACGCTCGTCCTAGATTCCACTACTGCTATTCATCTTTGCTTAGAATGCTTGTGAATTAAGGCAATATGTACAGGACGCACATATGCCAAAGTATAATTTGGAGAGTAAACAAAAGATTTAATCAGATGTAATTTGTTGTTTGCATTCCCGAAGAGCTCAACAATGTATAATATGTACAAATGCAGTTATGCTGCATTCCACATGCAAACACGTGCAAAGCTCATTTCACCATGTCATATAAACTAATGCATATTTCATTCAAGCTGGATATCAATTCGCATGCATCATACCAATACCTATGAAATGAATTAATAATAATTTATTATTCATTATAGGGTATGGAGATTAATAAGTTTTTGATTGAGATCATGAAATGATTGATATTAAACCACCATTGAAAACCTGAAAGCACTGAAAAGTCGTTTCGTCCTACTATCGAACTCCACAGCAGTGCACACCCACGATCCCGCTTGCGGGTTTTAGTGAGAAGACGTGATTAATGAATTTAAACCATGTTGGATGTGAGACAGGAGTGAGTCCACCTCGACGATTGGGAACAATAATCTTACGGATCTCAATTAGGCGGTCCGAACCTAATTACGCGCTTCACTCCAATGACCAATGCTTTTAAAAATTGGTGCTACGTTTTAGTTTGACCACCCGTAACCAACATCGACTCTCGAGGTAGGTAGTGGTTGGGTATGCATGATACATGTCCCAAACACCTCAAACGATGAAGATTTACTGTCGCATAAATCGACTTTCTATTTAATCGGGCCTTCTAAATTTATATTGAGATTTCGTCGGATATCAGATAATCAAGACTGATAAGGTTCCCAATACAAAAAAAGGGCTCGGTGTGTTCAACGAATTCACTCCTTATCATTCATTGAGTTGTTAACGCAAACCAAAGGATCTTATCTCAAATATGTTTGTATTTTAGCTTAAGGCGGTTACAAGACAGCATATTTTCTGCGTTTTCACCAAAAACTAAGAAGTGGATCATCTGTGTATCCTAAGTCAGCAAGTGAATCTCTCATTCGAAGATTTCGCATCTACACTTGAATACTAAAAATAGCCAAACAGTAATTAATCCGAAAAATCTTTAAAGTAACTGATTTTTCTAGAAATATACCTAAGAGACTCAAAGTACTCTGGGAAATCCTTGAAGTTTTGACCGAACTTTAATGGTGACTCAAGAAATTGTTTAGACTTCAGTTTACTTATCATAGATGACTGATAAATTAGACACATAATTAGACTCACAGTAGTCATATAATAACATACAATTTATCTGCTTAGTAATAACAAGATGATTGCAGGTAGTTAATAAGTGTCCCCGGATCCGGGTATGAAGATGAGTGACACGGGATCGAATCCGAATGGGAGCATCAGTTCCTTCAAGATTACAGGTACACTTTGCTGACGAGTGCTAAATAGCATGAAATCTTGGTGAAACAGGGTTTCTTGTCGACTACCTCCAACCACCATCTTATCTCAGCATACTACACGTAATTTCGAATCACCTAGATGAGTGGCCGCATTACAAATTGATCGATAGCATCTGATCTGCACAAAAAGGGACCTGACACACGTGACGCTGATCACCACTCAGTGATTAATCGATTATGACGTAGTACTAAAGCACGATACCATATTTAGATCATCTCCCCTTGGAATAAATATTAAGGTAAAGAAGAAAGAGAAAACAAAAAATCAAACAAATAAACTATACAACTCACTATGCCCATTACGATTACCATCATTGTTTCTAGTCGCTGATAAATATTTACTTTTTTTAGATTGATTATTTATATCATCAGTGATATCATTGATTTGTTGTTTATCATATATAGTTATCATTGGATTACGTGAATGGGAATGTGATGAATTCATTTGATCTATAGAATGATATTGATGTGGAATATTTCCTTCTCGTAATCTACTCCCTCCAATAAGTGTTATTGTTGATGTACCCATTGTATTCCCTTTATCATTAGAACGTAAAATAGTTGATGCAATCAATGGTTCACCACTAATTGTTGTCATTGTAGTTGAACTACGTGGTAATCTAGAATTAATTGTATATCCATCAATATTATTTCCATATAATTCATCACCATTATATTCCCTATCATCACCATCATCATTGTAATCATCATCATTATCATCTCCATCATCATGATTCTTTTCAGCTGGTTCAACACTTGTAGCTCCTCGTCGAATTATTGCTCGTGTTCCTTTGATTATTATCAGTAGTAGTAAATAATTGTTTGTTCGTATGTGTGCGTGTAGGGGGGTGGGGGTGGCGAGTTGTTTTTAATATGATTTAAAAATAAGAAAGAATAATATACATTTCAATATATGTTCCATATAAAGACGACTACATACACACACGCACACACACAAATACATTTCATTAGATGAATGAATGAGAGATAACAAACAAGCAACATGATATTGATTGAAATATAAAAAAGGAACATTTATTGTTGCCATGTTACGTAATCAAAACGATTACTATTAGTAGTATTATTTTATTCATTAAAATTACAATAAATAAATAAACTAGATACATGCAATTGTATAACAACCATGGTATAACATTAAATAGCATAACTAATTATATTGAATTTGAATATTCATTTAATAATACGATGAATTATAAGCAATGATGGATAGTGGCTAGCAGTAGAATCCAGAATGTGTATATTGTCCTACTTAGGACTCGTTAGTGGATAACGCGATGGTGTTTGAAGTGAATGGTATTGGGTTCGAGTCCTAGAATGAACATCAACACCTATCAAGCTGACGAGTTCAAAATAGGAAGAAACACACGTCAAATTGGATTCCACTGCTAGCCACTATCTATCCTTGCTTGTAATGCAATGTCGAGGTAATACGCATAGTATGCACATTTGCAAATAAGAAACTGATCAATTGCAGTCCTAAACATTAATGAGAAGTTTGAAGTACACAATACCAAGTGAATTTAACATAAATTGTTTATAAGTATCAATGTTATGGTTGAACTGGATTGTTTCGAATCAAGTTGAGCATTTGGACAGAATGTTAATAATGAATATATATTCTTTTGAATCAGAAAAGAGTTTTTGTGGATACTATAGTCTTTTCAATAGTTGAGTTAATGAGTCGATTGAAGGTAGACTACAAAAAAAAAACCTGGAAGCACTGGGTAGCCGTTTCGTCCTAGTAGAGGATTACTCAGCAATGCATATCTACGGTCCCGCCACTCGAGACTCTAATTCAGGACCTATCAGTCTCGCGCGTCGACGCTTAACCTACAGAACATTGAGCCGACATCTAATGGTGTCAATGTCTAATTTCAACCAATCCACGAATATATGCCACTGTCCATCATTGCCTTCAGTGAGTTACTACCTCACAGCATATACAGTTGAACATCACTGGTCACATCCACTCACTAGAACTCCATGAAATGCTTCTTGGATACCGTCACTAATGAGCATATAATGATTAGAATCAAAGTATTTTTGTGGATATTAAAGTAACGTTTTGGTTTTCTATGATGGTCTACCTTTAGTTGACTCATTAATTCAACTAAAGAATACTCGATGAAATATTAACTGAATATCAGATACTTCATATTTCATGCAGTACTCTATTCAATTGTTCAATTTAAATATATAGTTTTTCCGATTTCCAAATGTGCAGAAAATTTGTGTCCCTAACGGTTCGTTACTTTATGTTTGCCACTTCTTTAAAGTAAATAAGCACTCTGAAGAAGTGGCCAACACAAAGTGATGAAACGTCACTAATACTACTTTTCTACGCATTGAAATATATTGAGGAGTTTCTGCTCTATAAAATGAATGTCATATGTAAAACAAATATCTTTCTGTTCATCTTAGACTATTTCAACAAAATTTAATTAAATTACTTCATTGATATCATTAGCTGATCCGTGAAGTTCAACCGTGTTTGTTATGGGGCAGTAACTCACTAAAGACAATTATGGACGGTGGCGTGATTTCGTGGATTGTTTGAAATTAGACGTTAACACTATATGATACTAGCTCAGTTGTCTAGAAGTGAAGAGTTCGCTCGCGCGACTGATAGGTCCTGTTTTCGAACCTTGCGAGGCAGGGTCGTGGATGTGCACTGCTAAGAAGTCCCATATAGGGACGAAACGGCCATCCAGTGCTTACAGGTTTTCCTTAGTGGTCTAGTTTCAATTGACTCATGAATTTAATTATAGAATACTTAATGAAACATTGACTGAATACCAGATACTTCATGTTCCATGGAGTATCCTACTCAAGTGTTTGATTTAAATCACAAACAAACATGATTTAATCAGTTATAATAAACAAGTTATGGATGATCTCAGATATTTATCAAACTCTCTAATGAATAAATCATAATGTACAGATTCCAATCACATAGATTGAACTTCTGATTTGATTTACAATGTAAACAGCCATATCTCCCGTTAAACTTTGAGTAATAACCCTCCCCCCACTCCACATACACTTTTTTGTGTTTTAAAAAAGGATGTTTGGTTCTTATGTTCATCATTTGGAAACAAATTAAGTATACAAAAAAAAATAAAACTAAATTTTCTATTCAGCTAATTAGTTACTAGTGAATCTTGTTAATTAAGGCTAAAATCAATAGTGGTTGATTGTATTTGAGTTGTATTGATTAAATTTACACTGTAGTTGTTATGTCCAATGCCCAACAACAAACATTTTAGTGCCAAATAAATCAATTTTATTAGACCTTTTCTTCTTTCTTTAATTTTGCTACTCATTGTGATTATTAGTTTGATGAAAACTATAGAAAACCTCTATTAATGCTGTTGGGATAATTTCCAAGAACTTCAGAGGTTATAGAAGAGCCGAAGTGTTTTATTCAATCATAACACAATTGAGCTATCTAGAATATCAACATTACATACTACTGTTGGTCAGTAGTATAATATGCCTCTTTGCAGATTGATCAAATTATAATGTTAATTTAACAAACTCTAATATCTAATAACTACCCATGATTTTGTGTACATTTCGATTTTTGCCCAACAAGTAATTTCGTCTCCATTCATCTTCTATTTTCTCATTTGCGATTTGAGAGGGTTCTACCGTTTGGATGCTCAAGTCATACATGGTATATTAAGAATTTAACCTTCTACATAATAATAATAAATACAAACAACCTTGTATTCATAAAATACCTTGTTATAATGTATTCTGAAGCCATATATACAGATAGAATATACATTTACATGTTAAGCAGTTAACAGTCATTTATTCTAAACAAAATACATGCATTATTATCAAACATGCACAATTGTACAATAACGTAATAAGCCATTCTCCTTACATGCATTATTAAACTTTTGAAGTGATCCATAAATATTACAAATAAATGATAGATGTAAAATGTTTTAGGTTGAGTTGAATGGTTTGGTCCTAGAGTTTTCAATGTTCTTCTGAACAATATCATCAGTATAAACTTCAAAAATAGAAGTATGATATTCGAATATCCGTATATACGACTCAGAGCTTGTGTTGTCGACTACGATTATGACTGGTTATTGATGACTTTTATTGTGTTAATGTTTACCTCTCTTTAGTTTGATTGTATCATCTATTGATTTGATTCTTGATTCTATATTTGTCCATAATATTTCTGATTGATTGATAAACTAAATCGATTTCAATGAGTTTGTCGATCATTAATTAACCTGATTATCAAACTTCTAGAAATTCCATGATGCTTTTGGTAGTAGTAGTAGTATTGGTAGTAGTAGTAGTAGTATTGGTAGTAGTAGTAGTAGTAGTAGTAGTAGTAGTAGTAGTATTGGTAGTAGTAGTAGTAGTAGTAGTAGTAGTAGTAGTAGTAGTAGTAGTCGTAGTAGTGGTAGTAGTAGTAGTAGTAGTAGTAGTAGTAGTAGTAGTAGTAGTATTGGTAGTAGTAGTAGTAGTAGTAGTAGTAGTAGTAGTAGTAGTAGTAGTAGTAGTAGTAGTGGTAGTAGTAGTATTGGTAGTAGTAGATAATGACAGATTAAAAGTCCAGAATAACCGGTCAAGATCAATGTCGACAGGACAACTTGCGAGTCATATATAGAGAAGTTCGAATAATTCACTTCCACTTGAAGTTTGTGCTGATGATGTTGTTCAGAAGAACAATGAAAACTCCATGACCAAAGCATCTTGCTCACAGAACAAAACCTCATCAAAATCATCCACGATAATGTGATAAATGTAATCCAATATGTTTTAATGTTAGACTGGTGAAATGCCATCCCCAGTGGTAATAGACATAGTACTACTAAAATTGATCAGTAGTATATAAAAACTTTTAAAATTAATTTAACACGAATGTATCATAAAGAATTAGTGATTTAATAAGTGACTTTAATATTTGATTAACAACTATGTTGAATGTAAGTAATATACATAAAAAGCGTTTCAATTTTCTAGCTATTGAGTAGTATCTGCACTATTCAGCAGTGAGCATCCACAACCGCGCATGCGGGATTCGAACCCAGGACCATTGGTCTCGCGCGCGAATGCATCACATCTAGACCATTGAGCCGGTATCCAATGATGTTAAAGTCTAATTTCGACCAATTCACGGATTCGCGATCCACTATTGTCTTCAGTGAGTTACTGCCGTATAACAGACCTGATTGACTCCATTGTTTACGCCTACTCACTAGAAATCCAGGATGGATGCTGGCTGATTGGTTTTGAAGTTAGGCATTCGCACGGGTGATCGACAGTTCCTGGGCCCGGTCGCGTATGCGGGAAGGTGGATGCGCCCTGCTGAGGAGTCCCACACTAGAACAAAACAGACGTCCATTGCTTCCAAGTTTTCCATGGTGGTATAGCTTTAATCGACTCATGATTTCAATCAGTGAAATTTCTAATTTCTTCACAAAACCCTTTCGGATCAATAAAAGTTAGTCAGTACTGAAGTAAACTATTTTTTCTTCTATTTTAAGACTCTTATTTTATTGATAATCAGTTCTAAATTGGGCACTCCTTTCCCTTTAAAACATTAATCAATAACTTTAACTTATTTTTCTATTTTTGACAGAGTTTACCTCTTTTTTTTCTTCTCTCCCCCTCTCTCTCCCTCTCACTTTCCCTCTCTCTCCCATACACATTTTAATGAAATTTGCCGCTTTACAACATAAAAATTAATTTCCTCTATTTAAAAACACCTTAGCAACAATTTCAATACCAGAAAA